GCTAAGGCTGCCTTCATCGTGAGCAGACCCCAAGCCCATCCCAGGCACATCCCAGCCAGAAGTGTCAACGAGGCAAGCAGGTATACGAACAGAATGCCTGCCGGAGGGACAATATATAGTACCAGGGCGCCGAAGAACGTGGCGATGCCAATGCTCTGTAGGGCAGGCCCGATGAAGATCAACAATGTCGCAACCCATGCTGCAGTCCAACAGCGGAAAAGGACCTTCAGATCGCGTATATTGAAGTGGTCCAACCAGGCTGGTAACGCCCATCGAGTCCGTTCTGCCATGCCGGCAGTTGGGACATGATTTGAGGATTCTCCCCGAGGGGTCATCTTTGGACAGTCATCGTGCCTGAGATTATAATTTGGCTTGAAGTTAGCAGGCGAGTCTCGGAAAAGTCAGGGTCAGCTCCATGCCGGAATCCATGGGATGGCTGAAGTCTGGTTGCACTGGGCCCGATACGACGTCATCTACGGCTAGCATTCTAGTTACCGAATGGTCAACAAAGCCAACTGAGAAAAACATATTGCTCGGCGAGGTGGGAGACACGGTTAGGACAATGCTACTGAAGCCATAAATACTTGCGATGTCTTTTATCTACCATTGATGGTAAAAGTAGTGGTGATCACAGCAAGATCAAGCAAAAGCGCATGATAACCATTTCGGGATATGTTATCACGTGAGCCCTTGTTAGTGTTTGTATTGTTTGCATTATCGGCAAAGAGTGCAAATCGCATAACCAGGGAAGGGAACCCTTCCCGATCCATTCCTCATTCGGCTGAGAATCTTTCTGCGTTTTAATGTTCAAACATAGTTTATGCTGACAAGAAAGACTATTACTCTGTATCTGATGTTGCGTTGCACCAAAACAGTAATGTTATATTCATAAGAAAAATAACAGGTCTACCCTGCGATTAAGTTACAGCAACTCCACAAATCAACTCGTCACCACGCGATCTTCGCAACAGGTCCCCGCGGAAAGACGCGCACCAACACCTTCCGCAACTCATCCATGACCAGGACGCCAATCGCCAGACCCAATGGAATGAACCAATATTCCAACGGAATGGAAGCAGTATTGAATAGTGACTGCAGACCAGGCACCTCCGTCACAAAAATCGCAATCACCAAGGACACGAGCATAGCCAGAGGCAGCCATGGATTACGACGTTTTGCGCGAATGGGATCGGCCTGCAGGATGGACATGCGCTTGCTCCGGACGGAGAGGATATTGCCCCATTGCATGATAACCAGCGTGACGAAATACACGCTCTGTCCGACATAGTTAAAGTGCGTTAGCTCGGCCTCTGTGTAGCCGTAGAAGCCGTCGGAATATTTCTCGAATGCGAATACCAGGGCGTGGAAAGGGATGCCGGCTTTCTTGTACATGTACAGGAAGAACATGATATGGGCACAAAAGGCTTCCATAACTCCGACGAATAGGTAGGACTGTCCGTATATGCGGAGGTTAATGAGGTGGTCGGCTTTGTGGTTACGAGGCGGAAGGCTGAGCAGGTCGAACTCTTCTTTCTCCATGATGAGCGACAGCGACAAGAACAGATCTGTGAACACACAGATGATGATCATCAGGAAGGAGCTGAGCGGCAACGGTACGCCGAAGAAGACGTTCATGATCACTGGCCAAATCTCAGACCAACTGCCTGCCGGAAGCAGATAAGCGATGACCTTCTGGAGGTTCTGGAAGACCAGCCGGCCCAGGCGGATCGCCTCCACAATGGAATCGAACTTATCCAACAAGACTAGGTCCGCCGCTTCGATGGCAACATCACTGCCTGAGACAATGGCAATTCCAACATCAGCTGCACGCAAGGCGGGAGCATCATTGACACCGTCGCCTGTCACGGCCACCACGCTGTCTCGGGACTTAAGCTCCTCGACGATGCGCAGCTTTTGCTCCGGAGTGGTACGGGCAAAGACAATCTCCTCATACTGGCAGATTGAATTCCACTGGTCTTCGTTAAGAGTCGAGATCTGCGACCCTTCCACCAGCAGACTACGTCTCGATCTTCCCTCATCCTTCTCAGCTGGCGCTGCGACTGCGGATGACACCAGGTCCGCGACGGTATCCGGGTCAGCCGTTCCGGTGAAGATACCGATGTCTCGTGCAATTGCCGCAGCAGTCAGACCAAAATCACCGGTCACCATGAAGAAGCGAATGCCAGCGCCTCGACAGGCCGCCACGGTTTCAGGAATCTCCGGACGGGGAGGGTCGATGATTCCAAAGATGCCGATAATTGTCAAGTCCTGCACGCCATTGGCTAGCAGCTCATCGTTGAACTGGTTCGTGCCCAGCGCAGCAGTCGGTGCATATTCCCGCTGGCAAAGAACAATGACTCGCTGGGCGCGGCGGGAGAGCTTTTGTTGGAATGCAGTAAACATGTCCTTCGCAGCAGCATCCAGAGGCTTGGCCACACCGTCTTTGGACCAGTACGAAGTACACTTGGGCAGAAGAACATCTGGGGCTCCTTTGACATAGATGAGGCTGTGGGTCGAGGAGGACGGATTTTGGTGGACAGTAAGCATCCACTTGTTCTTCGAGTTGAAGGGTATTTGATGGGTGCGTTGGTAATTATGAAGGTCGGTCTGTCCATCTGCTCTGAGCATCTCAGCCAAACGTAAAACGGCCGCGTCGGTCGCATTGCCATTTACGACACGTTCAGGAATTGGCAAGGCCAATGTTTCTTGGTCAAAGAAGGCATCGTTGCAGAGCTTGGAGCCTCGCAGGAGGGGCTCAAGAGGTTCTGGAAGGGGAATCGACTTCTGCTGTGCGGTCACCAGATCCTCAACAAAGAATTCCTGGTCCACGAGGCCCACCGACTGCACGAACATCTTATTCTGGGTCAATGTCCCGGTTTTGTCTGAGCAGATCACGTTGACGCAGCCAAGGGTTTCCACTGTCGCCAGTCCCTTGGGCAGGATGTTGTTTGCCTTCATCCTCTTTGCGACGATCATTAAAGTGAGGGCAACGCCGACCGGCATACCCTCGGGGATGAAGGCGACCACGCAGCCCATAACATCGTTCAACATCTCAACAACGCTCATGTATTGTGGGTGGTCAACGCGCAGCCAGCCCACCCAGGTGAAAAGGATGGCTGCCGCTAGGATGACGGTCAGCACCACAATGATCCGTACGAAGCGCGTGATCTCCTTCTGGATGAGCGTTGGCTTCTCCTTCACGTCTGCTGTAATGGACGCCAGGCGACCCATGACGGAGCGACTCCCAGTCAGGACAACAACACCAACAGCGTTGCCATTGGTGACACCGGTGCCCATGAAGGCGATATTGCGGGTCTCAAGGAAGTTTTTGTCGGTTGCGTCGGTGGCACCCTCGACTTCATCGGACTCTCCCGTCAGAATGGACCGATCGAATCGAACATCCCCCGAGCTTTTGATGATGCGCATGTCAGCCGGCACCTTGTTGCCAATGGAGATATGGACGACATCTCCCGCAACAAGGTCAGTAGCTGGCAGCTTAATCAAGTTACCTTCGCGGAGAACAAGAGCCTCCGCAGGCAGGAGGCCCAGGATCGATTTCATCACGCGCGATGTCGACCAATCCTGGAAGGCGGAGAACGATGCTTGCAGGATGATGACGATGATGACCAGGATGGCCATGGCCAGGTTTGTCACTGAGGGAGGATTGCTGAGCGGTTTCCAGCATATGAAGAAGATAATCACGCCGATCCAGAGGACCGAGCAGAAGCCACCAAAAACATAGCCAAGGATCTTCTTCACATAATTCTCCCCATGGTGTGCGATGATGTTCTTCCCGTCGCGTTGAAGACGATTAGCTGCCGCGTCAGTACTCAAACCACGGCCTGCGTCGACATTGAACTGCTGGCACAACCGGTCGATGGCAAGTACATGGAAGTCCAGACTTTCGAAATAGTCCTGATCTGGTTTTTTCTCTTCCTTTCCTCGCTCTTTCAGCACATGTTCTGGGGCTGCCTGGGATTCGGAGATTTGAAACGAAAGGGTACGGAACTCGATTGGGATTCCAGCTGCCGTTGGGGACTGGGGAATACTGCGAGTGCTGCGAATGGTATCTCGACTGCGGGAACGTTTGTCGCCAGGGGAGTATATAGACCGAGTGCCGTCATGTACATTGGGGCCGTCGAAGGTGATTCGCTGGGATCGGGCAGTGCTTCGCACCTGGTCATTGGGGGTCTCTTTATCGGCTTCCAGGTCCAGGGTGGATGAAGCATCGTCTGGCTGGTCCGTAGACACAGCAGCGGTGGGAGTAGTCATGATGATGCAGAACAAAAATGAGACAGATCACTCTCGGATGACACTCTCGATAATGTGCAGTGATGCACTGGGTATAATTCGATTGTACGATGCGAATGACAGATATGGATTGGCTGGGGATGAAGGGGTTGTTGCGGAAAATTCAACAGCATCCTCCTGGGAAGCCCCTCCACTTATTTATCTGCTTCCAGGCCGTCATAGTGTACTCGAACCAGTCCCGAAAAGTCATGGTAGGGTGGGATGGCAGTCCCTATATCGTAGAGGGAAGCGAGAAAAAATGTGTCACGGCGTCTGGGCATGGACAGGCAGACGGTTTCAGCTGCCATGAAGGGCAAAGAGGATTGTGTGGACCCCCAAAGCCATACGAGAGATTAACAGTGTCCTGCTGCTAGTGCAGGGAAGCGGCTGTCAGGAACTGGCTCTGGGAAATCCCTCACTGGCCCTGTGGATCCTGGTTGCCTTACCATGGATTGCTCCGGTCAAGCAAAGCTGGCAGAAACACTACTGTAGCAGGTACTCTCTGCCAACATGGGGCTGGTGGCAGTCCAGTAAAATTGTCATCATTTCCCCTTACAAGACGAGTCACCGAAGTGGGTGCTATCCATCCACAGGTCTTCCTCTCACAGGCCGAACTCGATGACAAAACCTGGTGCTCAGAGCTGTCTGTGCGATTGCAAATAATCTCGCACGTGGAGAACAGGTGAGACGGTAGTAGATAGCATTGCTGGGTCATGGCTTTGCATCAACGCTGGGATGAGATCCCTATTGCCGATAGACTCTGCTTCACCTGTCGCCGATTGGCCTGTTCCCGGAAATAAGCATCTCCACGTGGGGGCTGGCCTGGCAAGCTGTAGAACTAGTACACATCCACCCTCCCAATCACGGCCCTCATGCCAGGGTGATGTCTGATATCGTGTTTGTTTTTCGTACATCAAGATCCAGTAGCGATTCTATCCGCAATCTTATTTGGCTGCTTTCCGCACAACTGGACATTTGTAGCAAGGGTCATAGGAAGCACCCCGTGTTGCCTTCGCACAAGATGTCAGATTTGCCATCCTGCCAATATACATTGGTCCATCCTCACTTCGCTTGGTGCTGACACCATCACTGCGGGATTTTTGTGGCCCAAAGAAGTGCAGTTCCGGTTATCTCTGGTCTGTAACCTCGTGGGAGAGGGCAAGCCGTGTTCGCGACCGACCGACGGGTGGGAACCAAATGAATCGCTCTGAATAATCCCGCATACTTGGGACCACGCGGGAATGCCCACCAAGTCGGCACCACCTCAAGCTCGACTCGAGTCGACTCGCCTCTGTTCCGTGGCAACAGCAAATTTTCGCTGTTTCTTTGTGTGTGTGAGTGTGACAAGCGGACTTTCTTTCTCCGGACTGTGACAAGTCTACAACCCACTACCGGGGGTTGTCCTCAATGAAATTTCCCTTAGGGGCTTTCTATGTGCGTGATTTTGTAGGGCTCGAAAACTTTCGAGTTGTTTGCTCTTGGCTTGTCTCCTATGGGAGGCGTGCGTCCTCACTTTTGTGTCGATTACCTTTACGTCTCGCGACTGTTGTCCCTCGGGCTTAGTACTCTTACTCCACTGGGATTCATGTTATGATCGAATCTTTTGTCTGTAGCACTCTCTTTGAGTGAGGGTAGCGGTAGCATGATATCAATGGTTCTAGCTTTGTTGCGCTGTTCGTCAGTCTTATCTGGAATTGGATGGCCTGTCCAAGATAACGATACCCCGAGCTATGTGTGTTCCAAAAATGCAAGTGTCTGTGGGCTGTTCACCGCGCTGTTCCTCCCCCTTCCTGAAGCTATGAATCCCAAAATCTAACCCGATTTCTAAGGGGTCCTGTCCTTCACAAAGGTAATCTTTCTGGCCAACCAACACCCGAACGTAACACCCACCACCTCGCCCTGTACGTCACGTTGAAATACAACAGTCCAGTTCCCCGGTGCTGGTGCATCTAGGCCTCGTGCGCATACGAGAAACCAAATGTCGTCTCCCAGGTATCGCATGAGCTCAGCGGGCCCGTGGCCGAGGAATCCCTTGAACGATCCGTACAGCATACCACCGGCTCCGCTGCATAGAAAGATGGAGTCCATTTCCGTACAATGGTATCGGCCGACATAGTCGCCCTTGGACGCCTGTTGACCAGCAATAATTCGTTTTGCCTGGATATGACGGTTGTCGTATTTACGGTGGAGTATGAGGATATCGGAACACAGCGTGGCAGTTGCCAGGTCCGACCGTGCCTCAAATGCCTCAGTGAGCTTCAGTGTCTCATCATCACCCGTATACGTAACGATGACTTCTCCTGGTCCCCCAAGGCGAACTTCAACCACCAATTGTGCCTCCGGATCAAAGTAAACTCCCGCCCAGTTTGGGGCCGGCATGGAAGGCAGCCCATGCTGTGTAGGGAGACTAAGAGCTTGCTGAAGGATATACCCAGCTACCTCTGCGGCATCTATTTCGTGATTCAGCATAGCCACAACGGCAACTCGTTCTGTTGGTGCTTGGGTCCGGTGCAGGCGATATCCACGAATGGCCCCGCCATGGCCGATGGTCGCAGTCTGCCCATACTTTATACGTTCCAAGCCATATCCATACCCAGCTGGTGTACCGTCATCGAATAACGGCTCTTTCGCGATCTCTCGATACACACTCTCCCGATCGGCCCATGCCTTGTCCAGATAACATTCGTACGCGATCATATCCTCCAGGCTGGCCACGACGCCGGCGTCACCGGACCATTGAGTTCGGTTGACGGCTGGTATATAGCCAAAAGATTCATTGCCTTCGTACCCGACGCATGGCAGAGGCAACTCGGCGTTGTCTGCGCAGAGGGTTGCAGTTTTCATCCCAGCAGGCAAAAAGAGTCGTTCCGAGAGCAGTTCACCGAGAGATGTTCCACTAACGTGCTCGACAATGCGAGCAAGGATATGAAAGTTGAGGTTACAGTAGGAGAATTGTGTGCCTGGTTGGAAATGGAGGGACTTAGTCCGGTCAAGCGCTTTCTTGGCGTCTTCCGCGAGAGTGAACCCCCCTTCCGGTTGTGTGCCCCAGAACATCGACATGGCCCAATAGTCTCGAATTCCCGATTGATTGTTACAGAGGTGGTCGATTCGGAGACCGTTGTTGTCGATGAGCTCGGGAGAGACCAATTGGCGAAAAGCATCCGACAGTTGCTGAGGTATATCGCCTCGCTCCACCATGGCTGGTGTGGGGTTGCGCTCCAGATCCTTGAGGATCAAACACAACATCTGCTTCGTAATCGAGCAGATTGGCATCAGTGTTGAAGCAGTCATGGGGATCCGTTTTCGCAGATCCGCATAACCCCAGGTATACTTTCCAGCCAGTTCACCATCCTTGATGATGGCGACCGCTCCACCAGGGCCTCGATAACGCGAAGGGACTGCTTCAAGTATAGCTTGCATATTCAGGCACGTCACTGAAATCCAGGTTCAGTATGGAAATGATAGAATGCAGTGGTAAGAAGAGCTTACTTGTAAAGGTTATGGTAAATCACACCACGCAGCTTGGAATCCGCAAAGCAGTAACCATACAGGTAGTTGTTGAGATCAAGTGCCTGCTCCTTAAGAGATGGACCAGAAGGGTATCGGGCACCCGTTTGGGAAACCGCCGGCTCTGGCCGCACCGCGCCTTTACCCAAACCGGCATGGCTATGCGGTTAGTCGTCTACTTAGCGATAAGAGAATCTTAGAGTGCAATTATGGCCAATCTTGAGAGGCAATTGAAATTCGTCAATACTCAATAACAAGCTAGCATGGAAAGGTTATCGTGTCTTCTAGAGGGCTGCAGCCGAAAAGCCTTGTCAAAACCATTCACTGTCTGGGGAGAATGCACCATTGATCTACGACCGTCTGAAGATAGTCAACATACTCGCCGCTGAAGGATGAAGGATGCGTACAGAAATCAGGAAACAATATTAATAGCAGCCAGGATGATGAAACAGCGGCGTCCACCTCACCATCGTACTCGTGGTTCCACTGGGGCTCTGAGACATGAATAAACCACCAACAGCAGAACATCCCACCAAGCCTGTGTTGCCAGAAACATCAGTGCCCAGCTGGGCTGCTTCGAGCCGGTGAGCAGATATTTGTACCCTAGCCAAACCCCTATATGAGCCCCCGCTAGAACCAACTTTCCCACGGTGGATACCCCGATGACGACTTTTCGTTGCATTCTTGGCCCGCCGGCTCCATCATATAGGATGAACAGTAAATATCCGACCCAGAAGCCGAGCGAAATGGTGAGGCATAGGGATGCGAAATATGGGAGTAACGAAGGCGGCTCTGTTGGGGACTTGATGAAGTTGTTTAGACATTTTCATATCAATGGGGCGACAAACATACCAGCTCTGGGGGAGGTACATAGCTTCGGTAAGCCCAGACGGTGGAGATGATCGCCGTTGTCATGAATGTGAGCCCACTCAAGGTTTGGATGACGGGAGCCGCTGGAATGACGAGGGAGGTCCGTCGACGGGCAGAATGGCGTCTGACATGGGGACTGGCATCATGCTGAGTAGCAGAGACATAAGATGGTAAGAGGGGCTCTGTTGACATGGCTGCTATCCGGACCGTTGGCCCGTCCGCATATAGTAAATAGAGCGGACGCTTGAGGAGCCGTGGATTCTCAGAAAGAGTGGGGGAGACCAAGTGGAGATGCCCAGCAGCTGGCGATCACGTCACATGATGGGCCAGTGTTTGTTGTGTTTGCTGAACACCAGCCATTGTATTTACATCAGGCATTATGTTGAGTAGTACATAACTACTAGTAATCTGTACACAGTGAGGTATATACCTCCTTACTCCCGGTCGTGGCTGACTTTACTCAACCACCATCCCAGTTCCACTCCTAATCTCCCCTCCTGATCATACATGACGAGATGACCGGCTCCTTCGATGAGCACCACCTCTCTGGCATTCAACTTCGTTCTCAGTCTCTCTGCCGTCTCCACCGGGATCCATTGGTCTTCTGTCCCCCAGATAATTCTGACTGGCATCACCTGGCCCACTTCGGAGTATCTCCCCTCGACTGCCTCTGTACTGCGACTGTTGGCTTGCGCCATTTGTCTAATGAAGCCTTTCCGGCCTTCCTCGTTGATGATCCACGGGCGCTTCAACATGTCCATCGTTTCCTTGCTCAACTCTGTAAATGCTGCATTCCGGATATATGCCTCGACCATTCCTTCGAACATCGGACCGGTCAAACTGGTAAAGGCCTCTTCATTTTCCGCCACTGATTTGAACAAAGGTTGCCCGAATGGCCCCAAAGCAACCACATCGATCAGACACAAACTGGCAAATGCGCAAGAATGGATAAGGTGCGCCCGTAAACTCATCAGTCCCCCATGATCGTGGGCGACAACATGTGCCTTATCATAAACCCGAGGCCAATCCTTGGACCAGGTTTTGTAAAGAGCAGCAAACACCTCCGACTGCTGAGCGAGGTCTCCATCTAGGGCGACTTCGTTACTGATTAGTGCCTCTTTCCCTGAGAGAGGGATACCCAGTGGACTCTCGCCGAATCCCGGGTTGTCGAAGAGATAGACATGGAAATATCTAGCCAGGGAACGAGCAAAGACATGCCAAACCCGCGAAGACCACGGGGTGCCATGCACGAAGATCAAAGGTGGCCGGGAAGCATCACCCAATGCGGTCCAACGCACAGCGTATCTGTGAGTAGTGGAATGGTAGTGAAATGTTTGGGTAAGTGGGATGTCAGCAGTGACTGCAGTGTCCATATTGCTACAATATAGACTCTAACACTGTAGATTGTGGTTGAGATGATATTCTCCAAATCAGCCCCCCGCCTATGGAGATGCCAACCCCGCTTCGACGCAATGCGACCGAGTGAGCTTAGCTCCATTTGTCATCCTTATCTTCCCCCCCCCATCCCCACATCTTCTGGGAGTCATCGCATTTCTTAAAATCATCCCTTTCCAATTTAGTTTCCTGGCCTGGGACTTCGTTGTCGCTATTTAAAATGTCAACATCAATTGAAAGCGACCGCGCTGCCTACCTTCTCGACGCGCAAAACAAAGCGGTGCAACTATTTGAGGGAATCGAACAAGACCTGATTCGACCGGGCGTGAGTGAAAAGACACTCAGCACTGAGATCCACGAGCTGGGAGCTAAACGCCATGGAGTCCGTACTCACTGGCATAAACGAGTGGTTCGCAGTGGACCAAACACCCTGAGTCCCTTTGCCGAGAACCCGCCCGATCGCATCATTCAGCCCGACGATATCCTGGTGGTGGACCTCGGCCCAGTCTTCGAAGAATGGGAAGCGGACTTCGGGCGCACATATGTTCTGGGAGATGACCCGGCGAAGCTGAAACTCCGCGATGCGCTGGACCCCATATGGCACACGGTCAAGCGACGGTTTCGAGAGAACCCAGATATGACGGCGGAGGAATTGTACGCCATCGCCTGCCAGGAGGTTCAACAAGCGGGATGGGATTTCGGTGCTCCCATCGCAGGTCACCTGGTGGGTTCTTTTCCGCATGAGAGAATTCCGAATGATAAAATCAGTTTGTATATCGCACAAGGGAATCGGGATAAGATGATGGTTCCCGGTCGCGATGGGCACATGCGGCACTGGATCCTGGAGATCCACATTCACGATCGGGCGCGCGGATTCGGGGGGTTCTGCGAGCAGTTATTGACGGTGGATTGATGCGATGTGCTGGATGCGCCTATCATGGGGAGAAAACGTCAGCACACTGGTCAGGAGGCCTTGGAGGGCAAGTGCCGTGTTTATGGGGTCTTTCACACCATTAAACAAGAATTAGAGGATATAGGAACCAGGGTATAGAAGAATAGAGATATCAGGACTTCTAATCGCATCTATATATTCCGTCTTATTTAAATTGCATTGTTACTAATGATGGTAATTTTATTCAATCAATATCCCTCCCCCTCATGAACTGAAAAGGGTAGTGATATATTTTTCTTAGGTTGTGCATCATGATCGATCGACCGGCAACGCGTCATTCTATATACTATGTAACTATCTATCATTCACACAATTGATTACTACTACGTAGTATGTCCGCTGACAGACTTCTCAAGAGAATATTTCACATGCAACACCAGGGAATGTGGGCGGAATCCACAACCCCAATTTGCCAAGGTGTCTAGACATCCGCCCAGGTGCCAAGGGTGGATAGATTTCCGCCGGGCACCCAATCTCTGCCATCGATGCTCCCCAGTCCCCAGTCCTGCCCAGAATCATATGCACTCGGGTTTGGTAATAGTACTTGGACAGCTGTGAAGATGCCCTATCTATTTATAATTACTTTTCATGTCTTCTCCTGGGCCAGATTGGCATTGGCTAACATTATCCAAGCAGACTTTCTTGGCCAGATTATTGTTGGTACTTAATGTGCACACACTCATTTCCTGGGTGGGTTTGACGAGTTCTTGCTCAGTCTTCACACTACCAGGATTGCCTGTAAGAAGTGGTGTCCACCTCGAATGGATTAATTCGAGTAGGAGTACAGTCTGTGCGGCGAGGCACCGACTACACGTCAGAATTCGTACTCAATGTCCATTAGCCAAATCTGCATTTTGGGATTCTGGAGGCTTGGCAGAGTTTATTCTGTTGGGTCACCCAAGGTACCACTATGAGTTCTGCGGAGCGGGATGCTGGCACAGTCTCGGCGCCAATGCCTGCCCCTCCTGTTAAACTTTCCGCCAACCCTACGGGGCAATAGATGAATTTACTGGGGAGCTGGGGACAGGGATGAGTCTGGGGCACCCAGATCCAGAGACTTACACGAGTTCGTTCCCAATCTCTTAAATAGCCTCTTCCCCCGCGCGGAAGGGTATCCCGCTGAGCTTTGCCATACGCACTTGATCCGTGTAACCTGCTGAGTACAGCATACCTGCCATCTCTAATGCCAGCCGAGAAGCAATATTCCACTTCCGACCGGGGCCCCGGGGCCATCCCAGGTCCATTGAGTGGACCAGCCCACGCTCTGACTTATGAGACTGTCATCAAGGAATTGGGTACAGCTCTCGACGATGGCTTGTCTCCGGAAGAAGCTCGTCGTCGTCTGGACCAGTACGGCCCCAATAAGCTGGATGAAGGCGAAAGTGTTTCCATTGCAAAGATCCTCCTTCGCCAGGTGGCGAACGCCATGATGCTAGTTAAGCGGCCCACTCTCCATTTTGTGGCATGAAATACGTCTGAGATTCCGATATCTGATCCAATTCTTTGCTGCAGGTGTTGATTCTGGCCATGGCGGTCAGTTTCGGGATTCAGTCGTGGATCGAGGGTGGAGTGATCTGTGCTGTCATTGTCCTCAATATCGTCGTCGGGTTCTTTCAAGAGTACGCCGCGGAAAAGACTATGGAATCGCTTCACTCACTCTCGTCGCCGACCGGTACAGTCTCACGAGGGGGGCAGACCTTTTCGATTCCATCGCAGGAGATTGTTCCGGGTGACATGGTGGAGTTGAGGACTGGAGATACTGTTCCCGCGGATATACGGTTGGTCTTCTTTCATTAGGTGCGATAGCCTGGACTGCAACGATACTAATTCGTCTCTGAACAGCCTAGTTGAAGCCGTCAATTTCGAGACCGATGAGGCCCTCCTGACTGGCGAATCACTCCCTGTTCAGAAAGAATGTGATTCCACTTTCAAGGAAGATACAGGCCCGGGCGACCGTCTTAACATCGCGTACAGCTCGAGCACCGTTACCCGCGGCCGTGCTCGTGGTGTGGTCATTGGCACAGGCATGTCCACTGAGATTGGTTCTATCGCCCTCGCCTTGCGCAATAGCAATACCAAACGTCGTCCCGTCAAGCGTGGCCCTCACGGAGAAACCAAGAAACGCTGGTATCTCGAGGCATGGACTCTCACGGGAACGGATGCCGTCGGTCGCTTCCTCGGCGTCAATATCGGGACCCCCCTGCAAAGGAAGCTGTCGAAGCTAGCTTGTTTACTGTTTGGTGTCGCTGTTGTGTTTGCCATTGTTTGCATGGCCGCAAACTATTTCAGCAGTAACAATGAAGTCATCATGTACGCGGTTGCGACCGGTATCAGTATGATTCCGGCGTGCCTGGTAGTTGTACTCACCATCACCATGGCAGTTGGCACCAAGCGTATGGTGGAGCGAAATGTCATTGTTCGCAAACTCGACTCGCTGGAGGCCCTCGGTGCTGTCACTGATATCTGCTCGGATAAGACTGGTACGTTGACTCAGGGGAAGATGGTTGTCAAAAAAGCATGGATCCCATCTCGTGGAACATATTCTGTTGGCGCATCCAACGAGCCATTCAACCCTACCATTGGCGATTTGAGCTTTGCGCCCGTATCTCCTTTGCAATTTGGTGAAGAGGATGAAGGTCTTCCGGGAGCGAATATTGAAGATCTAGTCTCAGACAATCGTCAACTCCAGGACTTTCTCAATGTTGCCGCGATGGCCAACCTCTCTCACGTGTTTGAATCTGAAAATGGTGAATGGAACGCACGAGGCGAGCCCACAGAGATTGCGATCCAGGTATTCGCATCCAGATTCAATTGGAACCGTGACCGTTGGACCAAAGGACAAGGCGCGTTGTGGCATCAGAAGGCCGAATTTCCCTTTGATTCTACAGTAAAGAAAATGTCAGTCATTTTCAGCAAGGTCGGATCAAAGGATGATCAAGACAACGCCACCATGGTCTTCACCAAAGGCGCTGTTGAGAGGATTGTCGACTCATGCACGTCCGTCATTTGGGATCAAGGTTCCTCCACACCGGTGCCTCTGACTAACGAACATCGCAACTTGATCTTCCAAAATATGGAGGAGCTGGCCAAGCTCGGACTGCGAGTACTAGCACTAGCACAACGTCCGTACACTGAACAGGCACGAGTACTAGAGGGCTCCGACCTGGAACGTGATAGTATTGAGAAGGATTTGTGTTTTCTAGGCCTGATCGGGTTGTACGATCCGCCACGACCCGAGACGGCCGGCTCAATCCAGGCCTGCTATCGCGCCGGTATAGTCGTCCACATGGTCACTGGCGATCATCCAGGTACTGCAAAAGCAATCGCTCAACAAGTGGGGATCCTTCCTTCTGATTTCAGCACCGTAGCTGCGGACGTGGCGGACGCGATGGTTATGACAGCAGGTCAGTTCGACAAGCTTTCAGATGAGCAGATTGACGGGTTGCCGACTCTCCCTTTGGTCATTGCTCGCTGCGCACCTCAGACCAAGGTGCGCATGATCAGCGCCCTCCATCGCCGCAATCGTTTCGCAGCCATGACCGGCGATGGTGTGAATGACTCGCCCTCACTTAAACATGCCGACGTGGGTATCGCCATGGGACAAGCGGGATCGGACGTGGCCAAAGATGCGTCGGATATCATTCTCACAGATGACAACTTTGCCTCTATACTCAACGCCGTTGAAGAAGGTCGTCGTATCTTTGACAATATCCAGAAATTTGTGTTGCACTTGCTGGCTGAAAACATCGCTCAAGCCTGTACCCTTCTCATCGGACTGGCGTTCAAGGATGCTGATAATCAATCTGTCTTCCCCTTGGCTCCTGTTGAAATCCTCTGGGTCATTATGATCACTTCAGGTATGCCCGATATGGGCCTGGGAATGGAGGTAGCCGCCCCTGATATTATGGACCGTCCTCCTCAGAGCAAGCAAGGTATCTTCACGTGGGAAGTGATTATCGACATTCTGGTGTATGGTATTTGGACCGCAGCGCTGTGTCTGGCAGCATTCTCTGTCCGCATGTGGGGATTCGGTGACGGCAATCTAGCCCGTGGGTGCAACCAGGAGTGGTCGGACCAGATCCAAGATTGCGAACTGGTTTTCAAAGCCCGTGCTACGACGTTCGTTTGTTTGACGTGGTTCGCGCTCTTTCTGGCGTGGGAGATGATCGATATGCGACGGTCATTCTTCCGCATGCAGCCTGAATCCAAGAGGTACTTCACTCAGTGGATGTATGATGTTTGGCGGAACAAGTTTCTCTTCTGGTCCATCATGGCTGGGTGGATCACCATGTTTCCTATTCTCTACATCCCTCGACTGAACGACGTCGTATTCAAACACAAACCCATCACATGGGAGTGGGGTATCGTGGGCGTCGAGGCGGTTCTTTTCTTCCTGGGTGTTGAGTCGTGGAAGTGGGCCAAACGAGTCTTTTTCCGTCGCAGAGACCGTAAGAATTTACAGTTGGCTTCGATGGGAAACATGCCGGAGCAACCCTAACGAGTGCTCTCCCCGGCCAAAGATCGTTTGGTTGGGGAGTGAACTGGAATTGCTCCTGGGTATATCCTATGGAGCTTACACGCTGCAGACTGCAGAGCTGTTATTGCCTACGGTGGAGGAACGGGGTAAGTATAGAGGGTATAGCGAAAGGGGCCTCTGCACCCAGCAGATGGTATACCTTAAAACGCTAGCTAGGAAGCATGATGGCATTGGTAAGAGATTGGCTATAGTTGTCTTGGGGTCGGTATTCTAAAGCAACCAGGACGAATTTCGGGTCAATATTAGGATAGTTCTTTGGAATAGAAAAATTGACATTCAACCACACTGATATCTACAGTGGCACAAAGTAAAGCATCCTGCGATAAGCGGGGAAGCCCGTGATAAGAGCGATCGGCCATCCCCGCATTCCATCCCTGCCGTAACACCAGCTTCATTATTCCCCTCCCAACTTTAACACTCTTTCTCTCCTACGAGCAAATGCTCTAGAGACCTAATAATCACGACCACCCACCATGTCTCCCCGCCCCATTATCGCCATCGCCGGCCTGGCCTGCGAAACCTCCATGTTCACCCGCGCCCGCACACTCGCCCCCGCATTCCATCCCCGCCGCGCCCATGAAATCATCGACGGATATCCCTTTCTCCAGTCCGGCACAGAGCTTGGAGATGCGGCGGACTGGCGCGGTGCACTAATTGGACATGCACTACCCGGTGGAATTGTAGTCCGGGAATCGTTCGAAGAGCTGGCCAACGAGATCATAACCCGATTAACCGACATTGTCAAGTCAACACCGCTGGACGGACTATGGTTCGATATACATGGTGCCATGTGTGTAGAAGGACTCGACGACGCAGAATATGAGCTGCTGCAAAGGGTCCGACGGGTAATCGGGCCAGATGTTATCGTTTCGGCGTCGATGGATCTCCATGGCAATGTCTCGCGTGATCTAGCGCATCAGACTGATCTAATTACTTGTTATCGAATGGCGCCGCATGAGGATGAGACGGAGACGAAGGAGCGTGCGTGTCGGAATTTGGTTGATTTACTCGCGCGTCAGGAGGAAGGTCGGATGTACCGACCATTCAAGGCGTGGATACCTCTTCCTATCTTGTTACCGGGAGAACAGACATCCACGAGGGTGGAACCTGCTAAGAGCCTCTATGAGCTGGTGCCCAAGGTTGAATCGTTACCGGGTATCATTGATGCAGCAATCTGGGTCGGGTACGCCTGGGCTGACGAGCCGCGTAATTGCGCCGTGGTGGTGGTGACCGGGACGTGTGAGGAAGCCGTCGCTGCAGGGGCGGAGCGTCTTGCAAGGAAGTTTTGGGAGGTTCATGCAGAATTCCACTTTGTTGGTCCGACAGGATCGTATGGAGAGTGTATCGATGCCGCATTGCACTCCTCGAAGCGACCGTTCTTCATCTCGGACTCGGGAGACAACCCAACCGCTGGGGGGTCTGGAGATGTCACCTGGGGGCTTACAGAGCTGCTTGCGCGACCTGAGTTCAAACAGGAGTCAGGTCCAACTGTCATCTACGCCAGTCTGCCCGGACCACAAGCGATACAGACGATAGTAAAGGCAGGGGTTGACGCAACAGTTACCGTCACGGCGGGGGCTGAGGTGGATTATACCCATGCAGGCCCTTTGACCATGACTGGACGAGTTCACGCAATTAAGCACGGCGATAAAGACGCAGTAGTCGAGGCAGTTTTACAAGTTGGCTCAGTCTTTGCGATTCTGACACAACTTCGCAAGCCGTATCACCACGAGCATGACTTTACCGACTTGAACCTTAAGCCGCGTTCAGCTGATATTGTCATCGTCAAGATAGGCTATCTGGAGCCAGAGCTATTCGACATGGCGGCCGACTGGTTACTAGCGTTGACTCCAGGGGGAGTGGACCAGGATTTGGAGCGTCTGGGACACCATCGCATAAGTCGTCCGATGTGGCCGTTCGACAAGGTGTTTTCGACGCCACCCGATCTCTGCGCAAGGATGATCCCGCCTTCGAACGAGTCACTGGCTTGAATAGCCCGCATCCGGCATGAAAGAAAGTATCTTTGCGATCTGCAAGGAATCGGCCATGACGGAGCGAGATCTTCCATCGGATATGCACGTGATGGAAGATTCTAAATAAAGCATTGCGCTGCCAATCAGATACTCCGAGCCGTGCTCCCGTTTGGGTTGTGGATCTCGGGATTTCTTCAGTGTCTCAGTAGGAGTTGCTAGTGAGCTGTCATGTTTGACTGGTATATCCATTCTGTAACACCTAGTGTGTTCTTTTACCTACAATAATATAAGGGGTAATTAGCTATCTTCCAGGACCATTATTGCAGTGGCTATGCAAGATAATATCCGTCATCATGTTCAATCGAACGAGTTGGGCATCTCGAATTCATAATGTATTTGTACAAGTCACATTACTATAACGCATCGATCAGCTCCCATGATTCTGAAAATCTACACTAAATCCATTTCAATCCTACTACCTAGCTTCTTTGATCCCTGGAATACTACCTCTGCCCACAGGTTGACATATTACTCAAGGTCACCCGCCACCACCCAACCGGCTCATAACCAACCCACAACGTAGCCAACTAACAAGGAATCCACCACAACACAAGCTTTCTAGCCCCAATAGTCTCCCCCATCTAGCATACAGCCCTGTTCACATTGGACGAGATGGAAAACCCCGCTTGCCCTCCCCACCCCAATCTAGCGAGTAATGTCCCGGCCTGACGAGCGACTAGTGAGGAACTATTGAAGTGGGTGCCCCCCTCCCTCCTTGATTATTTCTTTTTCCACCTTGTCCCGGTGAGGTGGTCGGTTACTCTCCATTATCATTCTGGGGATGTCTTATATCCCACAGAGTCAACCTGGTTTATACACACATCCTACCAGATAATAATGAAAACAAATCCTAATACATATAAATTGGCCGACACTAATACATCAATCCCACCTTCCTACAACCTCTCAATCATCTTCACTATAACACAACGAAACCTAGATACTAACAATCTACAAAAGAATCATTCCGGTACCAGACAACACACCCACAGCAACAAACACCACCAACTGACCCAACCCAAGCGTAGCAGTGTAGCTCATGTAACCCGGCACACCAGCAGAGCTACTCTCCGAACCACTGCTACCGGAGTCACCAGTGCTCGTACCAGCAGCAGCAGACAACGACACAGTACCCGTACCAGCGGTGCCAACGGCCTTGAGCAGGGACGAGCAAGTACCAGTAGGAGAAGTAGTAGAGGTAGTAGTAGCCGAGCCAGCAAAGTCACAAGCTGAAGCACCGTTACCCTTCTCCTTCTGCTCCTCGTAGTAGGCGTTCAAGGCCCAGTTGAGCATCTGCTTGGTCGTGCACATGCTGTAGGCGCCGTACTTGCCCGTGGTGGCGTTACCGGTGATGCCCTCGCACACGCCGTAGCCGCAGACGGTGCTGTACAGGTCGGCGTACTTCTTGCTCGACACGCTGTCCTTCACCACGCACGAGAGCGTCTCTTCCATGCAGGAGCAGAGTTCCGAGTTGGGCGCCGGGGGCAATGCGCTGGCGGCTTCCCAGCTAGAGCCGACGGTCGGGCAGGACCGGGCGACGGTGTTGGTGGGCGTGTAGCTGGCGCTGTTGGTGCCGGTGGGGCTGACGCTGTTGATTTCCTTCGAGTACGAGGAGAAGCCGGTCAGGGTGCTGACGGAGCCGTCGGAGATGGTGACCAGACCTGGATGGTGTTAGCCATGTACATGTCTTGAAGTAGGTTTTGTTAGTGGGAGGGAGGGGGGAATGCTGGGCTTACCGTAGTCATTGGCATCCTGGAAGTACTCGTAGACGATACCACCGGCGAGCCAGTAGTCCATCTTAGGGCCGTACATGACGGGGACGTTGCTGAAGGAACGGGGCTGGACGGTGATACATCCATACTCGGAGAAGAAGTAAGGCACGGAGTAGTTGCTCAGGTCCTCGGTCATGACGTTGTAGCCGGACTCGGTGTAGCTGGAGTCACCGCACCACTCGTAGACATTGTCACCGAAGAAGTCGACGGAGTCGTCCGAGTCACCGCAGTTGAAGTAGTCGACGAGGTCGGTACGGATCTCGGAGACATCGGCGGCGGAGTAACCGACACCGATGGAGCGGTAGTTCTTGGACTTGATGTAGGCCTTCATGTCACGCACGGCGGCCTTGACGTAGGCGCTGGCACCGGTGGTGTTGACACTGTTTGAGTTCTCGTTACCCGCGAAGAAGCCCAGAGTGTTGGTGTAGTTGGCCAGCGAGTCGACCACGCTGGCGTAGTAGTTGTACAGGTCAATGGTCCACTCCGGGTCGCTGCTGTCGATGGAGTAGTCGGCGGAGGACAGATCCGCCAGCACGTAGATACCTGCGTCGGCGAACAGGTTCATACAGGTGGTGTGGTCCGCGTCTGGGTCGACGTCGTAGACACGCACCACGTTGGTGTTGAGTTCCTGCAGGTAGGGCAGATCCCGCTTGCAGATGGTCTCGTTGGCGAGGGGGTCGACGAAATCGACCGTGCCAGCGGAGGTCGTCGTGCCGTCGTCATCATAGGGGGCTGTTGTATTATTAGTTTGAGGCAACAGGCCCAGTGGGCATGTTAGGTTGCTGCTTACGCTGGTAGGCCACACCACGGATGAAGCTGAGGCAGGTTAGCAGGTGGTGATGGAGGGTATAAAGAGGATGGTAGCATACAATTCCGTGCCGTTGTTTTCGTAGAAGAATTTGGAGCCCTAGAAAGGGTCAGTGGGATTGGTAGATGAGATGGTGATGGTGGCTACCTTAATGACGATGGCTGGGGCAGAGGCGACAGCCACGTCGACGAGGGCAGCCGCCGCTACAGCAGAGACGGCGAGCTTCATAGTGAGGGGGAACGAAAGAAGACGATGCTATAGAACGAGTGTGGTGGTTGGTTGTATTAAGATAGAGCGAATGTGGTGGTTAACGAGAGGAAGAAAACCAAACAAAAAGGCTAAGCAAAAGGATGCAAGATGGATGGATGAAAGAAGAAAGAGAAAGAGAATCTGGAGCGAGAGACCAAGTGGGAGGGAGGAAATGGGAGGACTAAGAAGGAAGAGATGGAGACCGGCGAGGCGAACCTTTGCTAGTCTGGACTCTTATTAGTTGTTAGTTGCTAGGGCCGCATTTGCCTGCTGCCTACAGAAAAAGCCCATTGGCCCCCCTGAAGGTTGTGTCAGGATGGGCAGAGAGACTGGGCCTGATGGAACGGCGCTACCATTGGGGAAGCCAGCCAGTCTCTCTGATTGAGTAGTAATTTTAGTACTTTGAGACTAGTTACTAGCTGACAGCCCCAGAAATGACGATGATGATAATGATGATAAAGTCTTACGCGGTAATACAAAGAACGTCAGCGATATGGAATCCAGCAATTAGGCTCGTGAGCGACATCTTGGCTGATCTCTTGGCTTTGCTTAACGACTCTTGGGAGTTCCCACGCAGCGGGTCTCGGATCCAGCCGGCTTGGTGACTGGCCGATCGCTGCTCGGACATGGATAAGTTCTGTTCCCCTTTTGCCCCAGTCCACGCAAGAATTTTTACTATAATTACGACTACTTCGAACTTAGGCCAGGGAAAATGGGAGGGTCACAGGGTCAACAGGGTCAAAAGTCCCTATCCCCATCGCTGTGAGTCCACAAGCCCCTGAATCCAGGGTCAAAGGGTCACCAAGGGTCAAAAGGGTCGTAGGGACAGGCAGAAATCAATCGGAAGGGAATTAATTGGCAATGGTGCGTGCCTCGGAGTTTAGGGCGATTTTCGGACAGCCGACACACACAAACCCCAACTGCGCCATGGTTACTCGTCCCGAGGGAGGAATTTCTCATTCCACGTGCCGTGCAGTGGACACATCACCCAGAATAAAAATAATCACAACATTAATGTTACAGTAGGATTAGAGGCAGTGTCAGGAACGGAAAAATGGAAAGGAAGCGCCCGCTGAATAATCTCGCATCCTTCGGTTTGATTGCTGTTGACGCGTTGCGGGCGATGATCCCAGCCAGTGGCCGCTCGGGTGCCACCCGACGGGTGATTTCATCCAACCGGTTGGTTTCAGATGCGCGGCCTTGGGGGCAAGACTGGTACGACTGGAGCAGAATGGACGAGTGATGGCTGGATGGGCAAAGCAAGCATTTTTATGGTCGGTGACACCACTGCCCACTCCTCACTCTTCTGCTCAGTCGAGTAGTGATCGGCACTGGACGTGCGGCCCCCGGAGATCCGTCGGACTGCCGATACCCGCCCATTCGGGTTAGTGCCGACACAGACAGAAGAGAGAGAGAGAGAGAGAAAGAGACAGAGACAGAGGGAGACAAGCTGAGGAATAGGAGAGGGATATGTGTAAGAAGCACCTTCCATTGCGTATGGTGTGTAGATATACTCATTGGGTTGAGCTCATATTTCTCCCACAGCCAATGCCACCTCTCCATGGTCCTCCATCGGCTCGCATCGGTGCAGACATATCCCCTGAGTGAAAGCCGACCGTGCAATGGCTGGACAATCGCCTTATCGGCATCTGCATGTCTTACAGCAATTCAATTCCACAAATGACAGATCAGGCTCGTATACTAGTGGGCCAGGGTTCTGGGGATGCCGGCCTTCCAGTGGTTTATTATTGAACCAACGTGAAGCGATGCCAACCGAACTACCATGCCCTTATCTCGAGTCCAATGAACTCGTTCGGATTGCGTCTTCAGACAGTCGGATACAACCAGTTTTACACACTATCTCAGCGTTTCCAGATCCTGCCTTATCGCGTCCTACGCTAAAAATGCTTAGCCTGCAGGGTTGAGTGCTTGACCTTGTGCAGAGAGACCCTGTGCAGAGCGACAGCCACTCCGCTCTGCAGCTCTTATCGTTAAGTCCCATGTGGCAACCACCATGTGCTGCTGCTCCTGCTGCTTCTACCAGTGAGGCTTTTTCCTGGGCTGGCCTCGTATATAATGCAGGCAACCCCTCCTGCAGCGTCGGGGGAATACTGTCCAGTCAGACCTCATTGAACGATCATGGAAGCCAAGTCAGCCAGTGTGTCTCCTGAGCAGGAGATACCGAGCTACAATGAGAAGTCTAGTCAGGAATCTCCTGCCTTAGAGCCTCAAGTGCTCGAAAAGGGGCAGACGGTGCGCATTGGTGAGGATGATGACTATGATAGCGACCAGGTGGTGAGCACGGCTCAAGATCTTGTCACCCATATCATCAAGGTCGAGGATGATCCATCCCTGAACCCATGGAGCTTTCGCATGGTCTTCTTGGGTAATATTGTCTCCGCTACGACGTGTTTTAATTGCTAAGCTCCTGTAGGTGCCGGGCTGTCCATCTTTGGCGGTGTGCTCCAGGAGATCTTCTACTTCAAGCCGCAGACCATCTACGTCTCGCAGGTCTTCCTCACGGTCATTGCCTACATCCTGGGAGAGCTCATGGCATATGTTATCCCTCGTCGTGGAGTCATCGGAAAGTTACTCAACCCGGGTCCTTTCAATGCCAAAGAACATGCCGCCATTTCCCTCATGTCCTCCGCCGCTACACAGTCCGCGCTGGCCACCGAGGCCTTGTCAGCCCAGCAACTCTTCTACGGTGGATATCCCAACCACGCTGCTGCCGTCTTCATCGTGCTGTCATCTCAGCTGATTGGTTTCGGTATCGCCGGTCTGCTGCGCGATGTCATCGTGCGGCCAACCAAGATGATCTGGCCCATGACCCTACCCATCAGCAGTCTGCTGGAGTCATTGCACAAAGACAAGGCGCAGTCTAAGGCACGGTTGAAGATCTTCTACATCTTCTTCTGCATCCTCTTCTTCTGGACCATCATCCCCGAGTACATCTTTCCCCTTCTGGAAGGTTTCTCGATCTTCTGCTTGGCGGATCAACACAGTCTGGTCTTCACAAACCTGTTCGGCGGTGCTTCCGGAAACGAGGGACTCGGATTTCTCTCTCTTTCCTTCGATTGGAACTACATCGCCTCATTGGGTTCGCCACTGTGGTATCCGTTGTACGCTATGACCAACAATTTCATCGGATACCTGGGCTGCATCATCCTCTTCATGGCCGTCTACTATGGCAATATCTGGCGTTCTCAAGACTTCCCGTTCTTGTCTCAGTTGCTTTACTACGGCGACTCCAACTCCACCTCCTACAATGAGTATAACCAGACCCTGATCCTCAACTCCGAGTACATTGTCGACCATGCGGCCCTCAAAGAGCAGGGTCTGCCCTGGCTGACTGGAACATACGTGGTCTACCTCATCACCTCCAACATGGGAGTGACCGCCACACTGACCCACATGCTGTTGTGGGATTTCGACGACATCAAGGTCGGCTGGGCCTGGGCTGCCCCTAGCAAACTCAAGAAGTGGCTGAAGCTGGAGACCTACAAGTTCTGGAAAAATCAGGAAACCCCCGAGGAACGTCTCGCACGACGCGTCAACGATGAAACTCTCGATCCACACTACCGTCTTATGCTGCGCAACCTCTACCAGGATACTCCTCTGTGGTGGTGGGGTGCTGTCCTGATTGCGAGCTTTGTCGTTGGCTTAGGCTGTTTGTATGCGATGAAATCTACACTGCCGTGGTGGGGATTCATCGTCGGCAACATTCTCACGCTGGTGTTTATGCTCTTTTTCGGTGCGCAATACGGATTGACTGGGTTTCAGTTCAACGTTCAGCCTATCTGTCAGATGCTGGCGGGCTACATGTTCCCGGGGAAGCCATTGGCTAGTAAGTGAACTTTCGCTCGAATGTCTAACCCAGCTAACGTGCAGACCTCTACTTCACCTGCTTCACCTACAACTCGCTGCAGCAGGGACAGGTCTTGGCCAAGGATCTACGACTAGCGCAACAAGTGCATCTATCTCCGAAGTGCACCTTCTTCGTGCAAGTAATGGGTTGCATCATCGGTGCTCTATTCAACTACGTGATGATGCTCATGTATGCTCCCTACCTCCCGATACTCGACTTACCCCCACTAACTCTATAACCCAAGCATCGTCCGAAATCAATCCGAAGTCCTGATTTCCATCGACGGCACCAACATCTGGAGTGGCGCCAATGTTCAAATAAGTCCCCCTACCCCATCCAACCATTTACGGCCAAGCTAACACCCCCAAACCAATTCAACAGTCTCGCCATAGCCTGGAGCATCGCCAACGACATGTTCTCCATCGGCGGCCGCTATGAATGGGTCACGATAGCCTACCTCGTCGGCTTCATCGTGCCGGTACCCTTCTGGCTCGCCAACCGATACTACCCGCACCCGATTTTCTCATATCTCAATACCTCCATTATCCTCTGGTACATGGGTTGGTTGTTCGTGGGGATTAACGCCTCCATCATGTCGTACTTCCTGCTGGGATTTGCGGCCCAGTTCTGGCTCAGACGGTATCATCCCCAGCTGTTTAATAAGTATAATTATATTGTCTCGGCGGCGTTGGATGGTGGCACGCAGATTTGCGTGTTTATTCTTACGTTTGCGGTGTTTGGTGGGAGTGGGGTGGAGCATGCGTTTCCGTGAGTGTCCTCTCTTTTGGAGATTTGAGAGTGTGTGAGATGCTAATTGTTGGATAGAACTTGGGCGGGAAATCCCAATACCAATATTCATAATTTGGATTATTGCAAGGTCAATCCGGCGACTTTGTAAGTGGGTGGCAGCTGTGCATGAGATGGTCATGTGCGGTATGTGCAGGATGAAGGGGTAGTGAGGATACCTTCTAGACTTTATGAGGTGAAATGCCTGCAATGCAATACGTTATGAGCCACTATACAAGATCCTGAATGGATGATAGCCTAACTATGGCATCATAGTCCCAATCATCCGTAACAAGCACTGCCTATGATAAATTTCGCTCGACTCGCCGGGAATGGCAACACGGAGATACCAATGTCCAAGCTAAACGAAACAGACTACGGGATAAAAGAATACATATTATGAAGCCGATTCACGACAATGAAATTGTAAAGAAATTCGTATCCTAACATATCCTTGATCTACATATATATCCAATCTACTCCTTCGCTCCCGCAAACGGACACGCCGAAGCAGTCTTCTCCTCGCCCTCCACCTTAGTCTGTTCATGATCCTTGGCAATCTGGCGGAACATCTCCAGCGGATCGAACCACACATCGATACGCTGCAGCTTGAGCGCATCATTGACCTTGGCGATCACAATACCCTGAATATCGATGGGTCCGCCGTGCGCGGCGATTTTGACCTTTTCTCCTTTGCTATATCATTATTAGCCCACATCCACACAGATCACCGTTCGGGAGGAGGGTATTGAACATACTCATTAAACCCAACATAATCCCTGGCCATAACGCCCCAGTGCCTCCACTTAAACACCACAACCGGCGGCCCACTATATACCTCCAGAACCTCCCAGGCAAACGTCGGCATCATGCGCTTAAACGACTTGTGGCTCGCCTCGAAATCATTATTGGCAGGATCGTAGTACGCACTCGGCGTGAGGAGGGCATTGTACGTGCCGACTTTCAACATGTGTTCGCCGCTCAGCGGGGGCCCGCCATTCAACGTGAAGTGGTATGTCTCGTGGTCGATGGTGCGCCAGTCCGCGAGGTTGGTCTTGAAGGACGCTTCGATTTCCCAGTTCTTGACGAGGTTCTCGACGAGGAAGGGGAGGCTGCCGGATTCGTGGGTCATTTTCTTGGCTGGTGATTGAGATCGTTAGTATCGGTACAAGGCTGTGGTTGAACTGGTAAGGGGTGTAGTACTCTCTTCGTAGTAGGCCCGGGTCTTGCTATAGTCCGGGGGACCACCGTGACGCCAGGCGGCGTCTGTGTCGTTGAGGACCGCATTGGGGTCCAGAACGTAGTCGGGGAGTCCGGCAGCGTCGCCCATTGTGTGGTGGTATATGCTAGTGGAGGTTTGAAGAGATTTTGAGTAAATAACCAACAGGGGTAGATAGCCAGACTATATACTTTTGACCCCAGGCTAGAGTCTTGTCAGTCTCCGCCTCTCAGGAGACGTGGCCTATAACGGTGGCCTCGGTTTACTGAAGCCACTGCGACAATAGAATGCACTAAGTTTGCCTAGCAGTGGGGGTGTCAGCCGGCTTAAAGTCTGATTTAGTGTTGAAGATAGCGCACATGGTCTATCTATCTAGACCAGTTGCAAAAACGGCCAGGTTGCAGCCGTTTGCTATCGCGCTGGTTTAGTCTGCGACCGGTGGTGGTAGTCATTTGAGGAGCAAGAAGCAGAAGACTGATGGGAGGGGTCGGAATGCATTGACCAGACAGAGGGGCCATTGTTGTTCATGGTTACACTGTACTGGGTCTTTGTGGGAACCATTGGATCGATGGATCGTCTTGGCCTCAGCTCGCTGTCTCCATCCGAGGCTGTCAGCCCCAACACCATACCAGCCCCGCGGTGCGAGGAATCTGTCTAGTCAAAAGGATAAGTGGGCAAAACCACTGATGATACTCATGTCGATCACCTGCGACTAATGAAGAACTGGCATTGTTTTCTTTCTCTCAGTGACAATGGGCAGAATGTTATTGTATCGTCCCAAATCATGCCATTGTCGCGTGTCTCCGACGGGGTTGCCTGCGATGCAGGGGTGAGATCTTAGGTCAACATCCGCGCTCCAATAAAGCAATCGCGCTTACACATCGTTCCGCACTTAACAAGCCATGGTGAGTTCTGAGAGGCACGTTTGGTCGTGGTGGATCAGATGTTTATAATAGACATTTCTAGGGCGGCTGGCCGGTTTCCCGCCGGAGTCTGGCGGATAGAGCCACTCTCATCCCCGTGCGCCCTAATTGGCACATCGGCGTTGGGTGGAGATTCGGCCGACGCCCTCGTGGCCGCACAGAACTCATGATTGGTGGTAGGTTCATATCAAAATAGATTGAATTAAATTGCTGGTGGTTCGTTCTCACCACCACACAAGGGGTTCTCTCATAAGCAGAATGTTACGAGCTTGTCGCGTACCTTTTCTGAGTCTAAAACCAACAGTGATAGCTGATCTGACATCTGACCAAAACAAAAACCTAGTGTGTGTCTAGTGGTGCTAAAAGGAGTAAAGAGCGAATTCAATTACTTCCTACCGCGTTTGATATTATGGTTAAGACACAAATGGCTACACAAGCACACCACGACTGTTCACGGACACCGACTCTCACGGAAGATAGAATGAACAGTATTCTTAAGGGCTCCAAGGGAAGATATCTCTCAAATCGCTTCAGAGCTCAAGGCTCCACTCAAGCTGTATAGGCGACGGCGGGTTTCTAAAAGGCGCGGACAATTCATCAGAGAAATCAGCCGTGCTTAGATTTAAACCAAGAAGATACTGATGAGGACGAATTCAAGGGCTACATGGCTCCCTAGAAGGCCGTTTTTAGATCCGACTACTATAATAATCTATACATAGTCGTCTGGGTAGCCAAACTCTTTCCAATTAGTTCTAATTAGTTCTGTCCCGATCTTGCCTCATCGTTCAAAACTGAGTGTAACACCACCACTATCACCATTCCCCACAATAACCTTGGTCTTCAGCATGGAACTAGTATATCTTACTCCTGAATCATTGCAAAAATGACTATAATAATGAAATGGGACACAATATACAGTATAATGAAGCATAGCTTGACATTCAGGATCAGCACTAGTAGTGAAGCTCGATGCTACTTCTCGCTCCTCTGTCTTGTTTACCCCGGTGCAGTGCCTCTAATTCGAGCGCGAAAGCCAGCCACTCACCCCCTGAGTTACGAACGAAATCCAAATAAACCAATCTTTGCCCCTTGGAACCCCAGAGGTCTATAGGCTACAGCCATAGTTTTACCATGGATGGCCACATTCCCACGGAAGTTTGGTGGCAACAAAAACTTGCTATCCCCTTGGAGATAGACCCACCCGTCCTCTTGGACTTGTATATCTATTTCGGGCTCTACAGCAGCAGGGGCGCTGCAGAGGGACGGTAGTAGGTCATGGATTTCCATGTTCAATTGCACGTGGTGTCCATCTCTAGTAAATCGAAGAGCGGATAGAGGGCATTGGCTGTCGATTCTTTGCACTTCGCTGCCAGATGTCGGGTCCCAGATTATGACTGTTCCCTTAGGGTCGCCTGATGCTAGCCATTGCCCATCTAGTGAATAGGCTAGGGACCTGATAATCCACTCATGACCCTCGAGTGTCCGCTCCAGGGCGCCAGTACTTGAGTTCCAAATGTTGACAGTTCTATTTTCGGAGCTGGTTGCCAACCATCGTCCATCTGGTGAGAAAGTCACTGCTGTAAGCGCGGCCGTATGCCCTGCACACGTGTGCTGTAGGCAGTTGTCTGTTTGCTCGTCTATCATTTTCTCCAGGTCCCAGATCTTGAGGATATTGTCTGTCCCAGCTGAGGCAAGCCATTTCCCGTCCGGTGAGATGTCCATGTCCTCAATTATGTGGTCATGCGCCTTCACCGTCACCCGCGTGGCATCGATCGCTTGGTTGTTGCGCATGACGTCCAAATCCCAGATTCTGATATTTAACCCTTTAGACACAGATGCCAGCCATCGTCCATCTGGCGAGATTGCTCGTGGTGACTCAGACGTAGGATCGAGGGGCCCAGTCCCTGTATCATTGGGCGCGGTGTCTAGGTCCCAAAGTTTGATCAGATTGCCTGCGGAACATGATGCCATGAGCTGGCCATTGGGTGAGAATGCCAGACTTTGGGCACTCCAGAGATGGCCTGAGAAGGTTCTTTGCAAGGTCCCAGTTGCTAGGTCCCATAACCGGATTGTCCTATCGAAAAAGTAGCTTGATACTAACTTCTGACCATCTGGTGAGAATTTGACTGCCCAAGCCCTATCCTCGAGGCTCCCCAAGGTTTGCTGCAGGACCCGATTTACTGGGTCCCAGACTTGGACAGGACCAGCACCGGATGCCAGTCGGCCATCTGGTGAGAAGGCCACTGACTCAACCACCAGGGTCGTCCTTTCAAATGTATGTTCTAAAGCGCCAGTTGCGGGGTCCCATATCTTGATGGTTTGGTCGTCGGAACCGGATGCCAGCCATCGCCCGTCCTGGGAGAGGGCTATTGACCGAACATGTCCCCGATGGCCTTTTAACGTCATAGGCAAACCTGTCGTAGAATTCCAAACCTTGACAGTGCTATCACCAGAACTGGAAGCCAGCAACTGCCCATCTGCGGAGATAGCTACTGACCAGACAGGGCCCTCATGGCCTTCCAGCGTCCTCAGTGTTTCGGTCACCAGGTTCCAGAGTTTGATGGTCTTGTCTTCTGAGCCGGATGCAAGCCACTGGCCATCTGGTGCGAATGCTACTGATAGAACCGAATTACGGTGCCCCACGAGGTTGTGCTGCAGTGTACCGGTCGCTGTGTCCCACAGCTTGATTGTGCGATCGCCGGCACCGGACGCCAACAATCGACCGTTTGGAGAAAAGGTTACTGTCCGAACAGGTGAACCTTTATGTCCCTCAATTGTTTCCAATTCCGCGTTCCAAAACTTTTCAACTTCCGGCATACTGCTTAGCCAAGAAGGAAGGTCAAATGTCTTTCGGATGATTGACTCAATCGGTGCAAACATTAGCCCCGAACAGTATAATTGGAGCGGCGCCAGATCAAACATTCGTCGACATTTCAGGGTAAACCGCTTAGCATCGTAGAGAAACGCCGAGAGCTCAGAGCTATCATCACCCTACATTTATTAGTCCTGCTTGGGAGCAGCCTGATGGGAATGTACCTTGATCAGTGACGCTACCATCTCAATGTTCCGAACAATTTCAAAAGCATATCCTAGGACGCACATTACTTCGGCCCAGTGCAGGAAGTGCTCCTTCAAAAATGAATAGACATTCGTCATCATAGCTGCAGAGTCCATGGATTGCGCTATATGGCGTGTCCAGTATCTGCAGGAATATTCGAGCTCTCTTGGTATACAATCGCTGACAGAGCGCCCAAGGGTTTCTTCGCTGATATTAACCCTCTTAAATCCTTCATATGGCAGATTGCAGATGTTCTTCTTCAGCCGACGTCGCATAACGTCGAGACATTTTCCCGCCAGTCCTTGATGCGCCTGACCCCCATCAACCCAGAATTCTGTCTTTTCTCGGGTTGTCGGATCAAGGAGAAAGTCTCGAAACGATAGATGCAAAAGGCCCACTGGCGCAGACTCGTCCTCCGGAATATTCAGCACGGCATGCAGTCGGCTGAGTCGAGTGCTTATTGCCCTGGTAGATATGCCAAGAAGCTCCGAAAGCGAAAGAACAGAGAGTGGAGCTTCCAGAATAACAATAGTACCAACCACTTCGTGGAATTCTTCCACGATCTTTTTTCGCCGTTTTTCACCGTGCGTCGAGAGTTTGTGTAGTATCGGAAGATAAGTTCCGTCGAGCTTGGACTCCTCGTTCTGGTACTCAAGAATTTCCGAGAGGCTCTCAACGGGGTCCAAGTCATAATCTCCAAAAACACGGCACACCGTCGCAGCGAAGATGAACAAAGGAACCGACATCTTGACCAGAGCATGAAATTCAACATCCCCAGGCCAGTCAGCTGGTAGCGCACGCTCCTTAGCAATTTGGTCCAGTTTGTGCTTTAAGAATAGTGATATATCGTGCTCAATCACGGGCTGGGGAATCCGGTGGAGAACAAGATCCCGGTGATTTTCTTTGACTCTGTCCTCCTGAAAGCCGAGCTGTATGGGTAGCTCTGGGCGACTCGTGATGAAAGCATGTAGCTGAATAGACTTCGATTCTTGAAGACGAGGAAAGAGTCGCAGTAAGAGGCGTAGGTCTTGCTCGTCGTCACACTCGTCCAATGCGTCGACCACAATCACGAGTCTTCTCATATTTGGGCTTTCATCCATGCCACTCAACGGCTCGAGAAGGAGCTTCTCGAATTGGATTCTGAATCCTCTCTTTGAAATATCCGGATCATCTTCAATGGCCTTCGTGACTCCAGGTGCAAGGCTGGGGACCGCAATGATGAGTTGTCTTGTGATCGTTGAGACGAATCTCCTTGCACTACCACGGTCACCTTCACCCCTCTTGAAGAAGTAAGTCGCTCCTAGCTGGCCCTTATCTTGAAACCTCCTAGCTACAGATCGTGCAATGGTTGATTTCCCTGTACCAGCCATTCCGTTTAACCAGAAGATACATGGACCGTCTGATGAACATCCCCAGTCATTTACTTGCAGAAGAAGTTCCTCCCTTGTGCCGGAAAGGCACTCCTCCTCATGCTGATTATGGTATGAGTCGAATGAAGCCCCTTCGGCATCTGGTAGGTTGTAAAGATCGAATTTCCGATGGAGGTCCTTCAATAGAAGAATGAATTCGTCTATGCGCCCGAGCAGCTCTTCTGCTTTGGCTTGACTCTGTAGGTGCTCATCGTGCCTGACCCATTGACGCAGCCTTGTCTCGTCACTTCTGATTGTTGCTTCAATCTCTTTCAACGGATGGCTGGTTACGGGAAAAATACTCTCCAGTAACCTCTCACCCACGCTGGATCGTTGCATCCGATAGACTTGCGCTGTATATCGTAGGATTCCTTTGTAGACTTGGATGATGGCAACCTCAACCTTGTCTTGCGTTTCATAACGGCTGTCATGATAGTGCTCCTTTTCAATGAAGGCACATCGAGTCAAAACGTCCGTCAGGAACTCGGCCGATTGAAATTGAGCCTTTCGTATTTGATGATGGTTGTAGGTTATCTTTTAACGGATTTTGTTAGCTTCCACATCATCTTCGGTGACTCCAGCAAGACACATACTGTCAATCCTAGCAACACAATTCCCCAGGCAATTGATGCCGAGCCAGTCTGATCACCTGCCACAAGCACATTTGCGATCCCTCTGAAAGACAGTGTAGCGTTGAGGATCTTGTGGGCCACGTCTCGAATGTTGATATCGTCCTTGCCTGCGCCCTTCCTGATCTTCAGTCCTCCTTTTTGATACTCTTCATACTGCCTCTTTGTTGCCTCGATAACATCATCCACAATCTGGAGTGTCTTGCTACGTTGTATGGAGGGCTTTTCAATTTGCTGCATGCCTGCGAGAACCCCTTTGTCCGCTGGACTCAGTTCCTCGTAGGCAATCTGCCACAGGTCGGTTACCTTCATATCCCCTGATTGCTGCTCTATTTCAGGGGACTTTCCAGACTTCTGAACATCGTAATGTTGAGTATTTGGCCCGGGACACTTCACAACAGATGTATTCGCATCTTCCCCTCCCTTTACTCGCCGCCAAATTCTCTTTGAATAGCGTTTCATGTTGGGGTTTCCTTTTGGATGTAATGTGCACTTGCAATTGAGTTAATATTGGTGAAGTTCAAATGCAAACCGGAAGGCGTGGGTGAGGCGGCGTCTTAAGCTGCGCAGCCTCCGTACGCGCCGAGATGGCGCGCGGCTGAGTAGCGGGGTAGTTGGAAACATCCCTGTTAGAGAGAAGAGAATCTGCATGGCGATAATAGGAATATAAGCAACGCTACAATCTATTGGCCAGAATGAATTTAGGAGGATCTCTGCCCCTGTTCCTGTCGCTGTGATGCGTTTTCGAGTCGCTCGAAGTCAGCAGCATATTGGTTGCCGAGTCCGCATTGCCGCAAACCAACTCCTATGAGGTATTTGACAATTTCGGGGTGTATACCGTCCCTTAATAAGTCACTGGCCCTTTCTAAAGGTTCTCTAAATGCTCGCGGGTGGTGAGGAGTCCCTTGTTGGTATTTCTCTCCCTGTCCAGCTATCGGCCGACCAGTACATGATGGAAGGGAACCGCCAAGGTGTGATCAGCAGAGGGCGCTTAAATTCTAACCACAATATACTGCCGGGATTCTAGTGCAATAGGCCAATGCGCATAAATTGCAGCTCTTCGGATGAGCAAGAATAGCTTGTCAAACTGAACATGGTACTTGTGACGTTGGACTTTTACATTGGTACCCAGTCATCGTACGGTCTTCGATGCCTCAGGCAGATATGTCAGGCAACTTGGGCCGGAAGAAGATTGAGCAGGCATCATGACAGGGAAAGTAGAAGCATCACCATATTCTCCGGCTAATAGACATAATGAATTGTGTCTACAGCTTGGTGAGAGTTGTATGGGCCAGTAAATCAACCTGCCCAGTGTTACCGTCTAGGTCGAAGTTGACAGTTGTTAGCCTTGCAAAAGAAAAAGCGGAAAGATAAGCGGTGACCTGGCTGGTATTACGCCTCCCATTTTAAGACCGCTATGCTGCGCATTGCTGATAGCTACTCGAGGCAGCTATCTTCCCTCTCAAGTAATGTTTTACAGGAGGCTCAGGGTACCATAATCAGCATAATGACCACGAGTGTATTTATCAAGAATCTGCTGAATCTTTCCGCGAGCGACGAATTCCTGATCTTTATGTGTGTACTCCGTACCCTGCCTCGTTCGAGCTTTGCCCCTTCCTTTAAAGAGTTGAGGGCCGTAGCCGCCGCAGCGCCCTCAGCTGACAGGCGCAACACAACCGCTCAAGACTTCTATCAAGGTAATACCACGCATGTCTTATCGGCAAAACTATTTACGGCGTACAGGGGAGTGTTTCATCATCACTGAGAAATCTGGCCACCTGGAAGTCTGAACAGTACGTACATCCAGCTCCACCACATACCGCAGGAATAATGCTTAATGGCGCTTAACGCCGTTTTCGACTCATGAATTCTAGCGATGACGGCGTTTACTAAGTTCCTTTGAGGTTCGCCCGCACAACATACTGGGATGCTGGGAGGGGTTTCATTACGTTGAGGATCCGACCGGTCTGATTGACCGACTGATGTTGCTAAGGACCGGGCGGATTAAGTATGCGATGAAGACCAGTAGCGCCTCCTGGGTTGTCAAGTAACCCTTTCGACGGACAAGAGCTCTGAGGTTCTGCGGAGCAGATGAGCCCGCTGTCTGCGCAGTCTAGAAGAGACATATGAGACAGTCTGGCCTTAAACCCACCAGCAATCATCATGCTATCGACTTAGAGTTGATCAAAGTGGGCATGCGGACGATGATCCCTCCCAAGGTAGTGGGGATCGGGATACTGATTTAATTAAATGAGATGTTTTGGCTTGTGTTGCCACCGTACGATGATATCGCCCTTCCGCCCTTCACAATCGACGTCCCGCATTGAGGGCGCAGCAGTGACGAGCTATCTCACGCAGATGTCATGATGGGGACGAGAGAGTGGCGGTGTAAGCCCATGTTGGGGGCTTTGCCGGGTCCTCGGACATTCACTAGCCACACATCGGGATAATTGGTACACCGCTTCCATTATTTTCCGTCTAGTGGAGACCAACGTGGGAAGTTGGAGAGACGCATCCAAGCGATGGCGGATGGAGACCATCGGAACTTTGTACTCAGTACCCAATAATTGGCCAGCTTCGACCAATCAGAATCCCGCAATGGTTCCGAAACGGCCATCGTCCGGCGAATTCATTCGTCCAGGTTGCTGCTGCAGATCTCTCCCAAAACTCAACGCCTTATCCAGTGCCGATCCTCACTCCTCCCTCGTCCCCATCACATCAGACATAGGGGTGCGATAAGAAGCCTTGGTGGGAGTCGTCGCTCATCTATCTGAGACCAGCCGAAGAGAGCATGGCACCACTTCCAAAGCATCCCCCGAGACTACGCCGGATAGCCCAGGCGTAATGGCAACATTTCCCGCATTCGAGGGGCGAAAACTCCACCGCGGCCGTGAGGGAAATAGCATCGCACCTTTGCGGTGAGGGTCTGGAGTCAAAGGATGAAGACTACCCCTGAGTCGGATTAGTGGATCCGATTGTCATCGCCTAGCTAGCGCTAGATAGCTCCGGCATTCCGTGCGCCGCAATCCTGTACGTACTTTCAATTTCACCTCATCCGAAGGCGTTGTGGCTGTGTCACTGCTGCTGTTACTGAGTACTTCGTCATAGTAGCAGCTGCTGGCTCCGAGACAATGACATACAACATATGTTCTCGTCCCGGACCAGGTTATCCCAATTCTGCAGTCATGCTCTGGGGTGCGGGTAACAACACAGGTGCCACGATTGCTTGAAACCAGCTAGTCTCAGTTAGGCCCGAAGAAGGAGACGTGTCGGACTAGGAAACTACTGGGAGAGTTTATTGGGGTGAGGTCGCTTCTTCTGTCTGAGAAAAGCGCCTCAGTGCCGATGGAGTAAGTGGCTGATGTGTTGGGTCAGTGGCCATTCACAGGTGCCGTCATCCCGCCGAGGCTCGATTTAGCAGCACGATACCGACTAGTGGACTTCAGTAGTGATGATAGTTAAGTGGGATTCTCGCGTATTTGGCAACAGAAATGGCTGTCGAAGTCCACTATCACCGGGCAACCAGAACACCAACAGCCACTCAAGACTTAGCAGGATTCCCACTGGAGCTTGTTTCGACTTAGCTTCCGCCTCATGTCCAATCACCGCCTGACAAGAAACCCGGTCCACCCCATTTGGTCCCCCACCATGAGTCCCCTCCAGCAGCCCACTCATTATACCTCGCGTTGCCCCTCCATTGCCTCTTTGGGTGCGCCGGGCAAGCCCCTCAGACCGAGATCTCAGTCGGCCAGGAAGATGATATCATTTACCCCTCCATCAGGGGAACAGAGGGGCCCGGAGGTAGGGTCAGCTCAACCTATATCAAGCCCTCCCTTTCCCCCCCCGTTACCTCTTCTCTTTCCTCATCCACAAACATCTCTTTTCTATTATCCCACATCACTTCACTACATTTTAACAATCATGGGTTGGTTCAGTGAGTACACCTGCACACCACACAATACATCTATGTGCCCGTAGCTGACGGAATCTGTACAGGCAGCGACAGCGAGCAGGCTCAGGCCGCTCAGGAGTTCCGCGAGTTCAACCCCGAGGGTGAGGTCACTGAGGAGCACAAGGCCAAGTTCAGCCACGAGCTCATCGGTGGTGCCGCTGCCTACGAGGCCATGAAGGCCTACGAGGAGCACCAGGAGAAGAACGGTTCGTCCAACCTCTTATCTCTTCCCCTTGATACATAATGCTAATCTCCTCTCAGGCAAGCCCGACAGCCACGCCCAGGCTAAGGAGATCCTCGCCGGTCTCGCCGGTGCCTTCGTCGACCGCGAGTTCGAGACCAAGGGCCTCGATGCCTACGACCACTTCAGGGAGAAGCGTGAGGCCGCCAAGCGCCACGCTCAGGAGCAGCTTGAGGAGGCCTCCGCCCAGGACTTCTAAGCGATTTGAATATGAGTTGGACGCACCTATCTGTTTATGATGTACGGTAGTGTGTATGACATGAAATAGAATATACCACCAATGAACAATCAACAACACACTTTTTTCCATTGTAGGACAATATGCATGCGTAGATTTCAATGTCAATACGAGTAGATAGCATCCTCCATGAGGGGCACTCTGCAACGTGGCAGTCGACGATCACAAGCTAGCATTCCACTGCAGAAGCACAGAGGGGCATCAGTGGCTTAACACGGGCTGCACTCCGTCGTCATCGACTGCTGCAGCTCACCAAACTGGGGAATACCTTTAGACAACAGAACCAGCGTATCACTAATTTTTATGCACCTTCAGGTCAATGGTAGTTATGTTTAGGTAACCCTTGTACAATATCCCTGTCGGTATCCCTGCTTCTTCTTGCAGGGTCTTTGTTTTTCCGGATATGTAGTTCCGACGAGGACCGCCGCGATGGGATTTGCGGTGCCGGTAGCACTAAGTAACACTAGCACCGACCGCGCCATTCCGACAACATCTGGCTCATTCGTCTGCTGTGGCTGCGGATGGCCAAAGAAAGAAGGAGGGGTAGTAGACACTGCAGATCGAGTCTGGGATATCGTTAGAATAGAGAAAAAAAGAAAGGTTTCTATACTTGAGAACAGTAGTCACAGCCTACATCATTAGCATGAATCCCTTTGTTCAATTTATGCAGTTTTTGTTGTCCTTACTAGTACTGCTAACCGGAATATATATTTGCGGTTGTCCAAATGAACCGAGCTGCACTTTAGGAGAATTTGTAAGCTAGTAGACCGTTATCTACCAGAAAAGAGATTTTCCCATCACAATCGCTAGAATTCATAGATACCTACAGAATTCTGGGTAACAGTTAGAGCCAATGCTCCGTACATCTACTCAGCAAACCAAAGAGCAGATGCGTAATAAAAACACGCGCCGGAACCGCGGCTGGAAAAGGAGCTCTATTTTGCCATCACGTGCTCTACCGCTTCACTGACCGCTTTGAGCGGCAGAACTTAGCGAACCTCGTTCGAAAAACCTCGGATTTAAGCGGATTTAAGAGTTTCCAGTTTCCGGACACTTACCGTGGATTCTGTATAAAATTTGACCGCCTTTGTTGACAAGTCGGCAGAAACTGAGCTCTGACCGCTTACCACACCGCTTAAGACGGCAGAACCTAGTCGACCTCGATGTAAAAATCACGGATTTAAGCGGATTTAAGCTTTTACAGTCCCAGAATGCTCACCCTGGATTCTGTGAAGTTTTTGACCGCCTTCATTGTGAGGGGGCAGAATGTGGTCGGCGCCTGTACCTGCTACTGGCTCATCTTACTTCCTCTACACCTTCTTTCCAGCTTTGCTATTGGAAGGCTTTATTCATATTTAGAGCTGACTGACTATCAGTATCCTTACTGTCTACTTGCAGCTGTCTTCTCTCGAAGATTGTGGAAATCTATCTACGTCTACATATCCACGAAGCGGTAGCTTGATACCTGACGGTCGGCATTCATGAGACACAGTGTCGCTTTAAATGATGTACGTAGCTGGTATATGGCAAGTATTGATTCTCTACAAATAAGTTCTTGGATCTTGCAAATAGCCGGACAATCACACCCGACTGGCTCTTCCTTCACTTCGATTGACTCGCGGCGAGCTCATCCAACCCCTGGCCAGTGCTCATCATGCGATCCTACTCAACATTAGCAATAACACCCTCGGTAGATGAGGACAAACTCACAGCTAACCACCCTGGCACCCATTGAGAAACAAACTTCACCGCGCCACTATTTGGCCCGCGCCAGAACATGCCATTTCCTGTCGTACCCAGTACATCAGGCAGAATCAAATCCGCCAGTTCCTGTGCCGAGCATCCCTTAGGACTCGCCTCACCCGATGCCCAGCGGGAGATGGTCTGGGCGATAGCTGCATACCGTGAGCTTGGCGGGAGGGTGAATGTGGGCTCGTTTGCGTGGAAGGGCGTCGTGACGGTGCCGATCATGAGCGTGGCCACGGATACGCCTAGTGGCGCGAGTTCGAGTCGCAGAGTCTCGGAGAGATTGCTCAGGGCGGATTTCGAGGATGAGTAGATACCTGTATCACGTTGTTAATGTGACACTGCATGGCGACCGCGGGAAGGAGATTGATGTACCGATCCATGGCGTGGGGACTACGGCACCCACGCTGCTTATGTTGACGACGCGTCCTCCGCGGGATAGTAGCAATGGTGCTACGGCTTGTATGAGGCGCAGCGGACCCCAGATGTTGGTCTCGTAGACCTGCTGAGCCTGGGCGAGGTCGATGTCCAGCAGCGGCATGGTGTAACCGGAGCCTGCATTGTTTATGAGAATATCGAGGCCTTCTCCGTGCTGCTCCACCGCTTGAACGGCTGCAGCTACGGATTCTGGTGAGGTGACGTCGAGCTGGAGAGGGGTGACATTGGACAGAGTGGTGAGAGACGATGGAATCTTGGAAGGTGAGCGCGCAGTGGCGAAGACGTGGTGGCCTTGATTGGCGAGGGCCTCGGCCAGGGCCGATCCGATGCCGTTGGCGGAGCAGCCGGTGATCAGGACGGTCTTAAGGGGTGCCATGGTGGCTCAAGCTCATACTTTCTTGAGCGGAGTAACGTTCGGTGGACTGGCTTTAAATGTCCCCGATTGACAACCAGGGCAGAGCCTGGATCCCTCGGGTATATTTAGTTTGTGACGCCCAAGCAGTAGTGGATGCAATCGTCCAGTCCAGCTGGATTCTGACAGGTTGAATGAGAAGCTATGCTAATTCAGGAAGTCCTAAAGATGGCCCAGGATGGACATCCCTGTTCGAGGCTGTATCTCAGCAATATCCTGTTTCTTTATTTTCCCCCTATTGTAAGTAGGTTCCAATCCATACTGGTGACTGATGTCAAATTATGGTCTCTATCGCAGTATTGCGAGTTTTTCATAGCACGCTCGAGGGTAAAGATTCTATCCTAAAAAGTTAACTAACTAGCAGGACGATCTAGCTTAATCAGCAACCCTTGTTATTCCCGAAAGCTGCCAACTGCGTTTCGCCTCAGGGCCTAACCGACCGTTCTTTGTACTTCAGGCTGCTAACACTTTAGCATGACACCCCATTGGGCATCGAGCAGACAGCGCGCAGGCAGACCCACTGGCCGTTCAAGGTCATGGTGGTGCCGCCTTATATAGCATGTTGCATGTTGCCAACATGCCGTTCGCAACAGCAAAGTAAGGGCATTTCCAGCTGACAGACCCCGGTAAGGGATAAACTCTAGGGCAGTTTCGTGTCTTGAATAATTCTATCCTTGTTGGGCCGCCTACTTCACGAACGTAGATCTCCCTGGTAAAGATCACTAGCCCCAAAAGTGACTCGGCTGGCAACAGGTTCTGGATACTTGCATGTTACACACTCAGTATGTAGGGAGTGAGTGAGAATAGATATGACGTTACACATAAGAGGATTGAAGCATACAAATAAGTAGTTTAGACCTCCCTTGAACTTTTACATTCTTCATCGATCATAAGGCGAGGATATATTCCCACGAAGAAAACACCATGACCAGGTAGCGCTGCAAAAACTGAAATTTATGGAAACCCGGCACTAATACCTCATGTCCCAGCATCATAGAACGTATCCGTGCCAACCAGCCCATTAGCCTCACTGAAGCCAAGGCTTACTTCGACGAGAGACCCCCTGTCCAGCCAAGCTTCATGCTAGGCGAATGGAAAGGTCTTCCTGTTCTGACGGGCAACAAGCTCGTGGAGATCCTTCAGAATGTCAAATGGGCTGGGAAGGATTTCCATGGAGTCGACCATGTTGATCCCATGGTGTGTCTTGACGATAAAGGCTGTCGGTTCCCCAACCCCTACTGGGGTGGCGCGAGGGTATGTTCTCCTTTCCACTTGTTGTATTATTGACGGCTGATTGTCAAGATTCGCGAGGTCAAATATAATGACGTCGTGTCTGCCGCGATGGTCTATAATGAACGGCCTGTTATTGACTATTTTCGCTATGTGGATGAGAATACTGTCGTTGGGGTGATGGATAGCCCTGAACATGATCGTTCAAGCCAGGAGGGAGACCGTTTGTATTTCGTCTTGGAGCGGATCAAGTAAAGGATCGCACTTTCTATAGAATGAGACGCTGAGGCCTGCTGGTGATCTGACCAAGAGTGATTGACCTTGTACTCTGGAATGGTAGTTCTACTTGGTAGGCATCAAGGACTATCTCTATCGCGCTAGGTCTCTACTCGCTTGAATGAAGCGGTCTATAAACTTTATTCCCATGTAGCAGTCAGACCCCTTCCTACTCCGTCCGTAGATTTGATCGTGGCCCGTATAGCGAGAGTCATTTCTTTGCTTCCTTGTTACTAGTCGCTAACTGCTAGATCCAAACATCATATCTCCAGGTCAAGATCCGGAAATGCTTGCTTCGTGCGTTCGGGCAGCGTCTTGAGGTACTCGCGCCACGCATCACGACACTCGCTGCAGAGTTCCACGCCGCCGAAGCAATGGGCCCTCTGTGCACCATATACCTTGCGGTATACACACTGGGTACAATGTTGACTGTCGGCTTCCAGCCATTCCGCCAAACCCGGGAACATGAGATCATCACGCCGGGAAAGAAGAATATGATAGTGCTTAAAATCGAGGGACGTGGCTGAGCCCACGTCCAAGCGATTCCAAAGCTTGAAGTTCTGCCAAGTTTCGTTGATGATATCCCCAGACTCCGTCTTACCAATGGTGAGCCCCTCTTCGACAAACCGATATCGCCGCATCGTCATGAGAATTGGCCCACCAACGTTGCGGAGGAAGTTGGTGACGATTGCATGCCCGGGCATGTCTGCCATTGCTACTTTTAATGCCCATAGGACTTGACGCACTCCGTGAAAAGTATTGATGCGCTTATCCTCCGGCATGTAGGTAAATGTGCTGTTTGTCTCGCCTTCTGACTGATGCTTGAAAAAGGTTACCGCGTCATACATGGTAGCTCCTATCTTGCATAGAATGTTATACTGCGTGTCTGTTTACTATATGTCCAGGAGTTTATTACAGGCGAGACCTGCAGTAATCGTGAAGCGGGCTAAGGTGTTATAATCCTGCATCCGAAACCATTGTTGTGGTGAGCTGACGAGGGCGTTCATGTACCGACGGAATATCTTACGGTTAGAGCGCCTGTGGCTTGTCTTCTCGGATGTGACTAGAAGGAAAGACTTGAATTCAAGAACTATGGCCTGATATCCTGGTGTATTATGGAAGAGGTTGTGTAGGAGAGTATCGAGATTCTAGGCAAGGACTCGGGGATTGTTAACCACGTCCACCAGGTCCCCTCGGAACTTGCTGATGATGCTGATAGTGATAAGACGCATGAAAGTGACATAACGCTTCCAATTACTGTATTGTGGTATCACATATCGGGTGTATTTTTAAGCACATGCCAGGATTTCAACCTTCACCTTTCTTGGTAGATCGACGTCATCCAAATCATATCATGGGCTATGTCGCATTGTGTATGGTCATTGATATCCCATCTGAACATATTGTGACTGGCTCATAAGAAGTACTTAGTTAGTAGTGGCGTGTTATCGGCCATACCAGCTTTTGATCAGATGGTACTAAATAGTATATCGACCGGAATGACCCACATAGGTACGGAAGCATCAGCCTTCTTCTATAATGAATGTATTGCAGTCTTGTGCAAGCCGGCTGACTCGGTCAGAAAATAACGCACTCGAAAGTTTGGACCAAAGGGTCCAAGGAGACCGAAGTCAGTATGGAGCATTATAACTCAAAATCCAAAGCCCTTCATTGGTCTTGGAATGGTCGCTGGATCACTAAACTGTATGCGCAAATGCAGCTTGTTAGCTATGATGAAATCCATTAAATTCTAGAACTTTTTCGGAAAGACCAAGAAGGTCGTCTCCATCTGAACATATCCTCGATGGAATTCAGCTCAGCTGTATTCGTGAATATCTCAACTATACCTTAGTACTTAGTAGGCACCCGAGTGGTCACTTAGGAATCAATGACCTGTCCAGATTGGACGATGCTATTATTGTGAACAAAACTTTCAGTCTGAGAGCTCAGTTTCGTAAGAAGGCATATGTGGTCTCAATACTGAGTGTACAACAACCAATCAGGACAGGGTGATTATCTGAAACTCAGATAATGTGCTTTGGATTAAACATTTACATCATCCATGAGGGTTAGGGTAAGCGTCTCGTTCACGAGATCAAGCTTTGGACATTTCAATCAGCATGGGCCTCTAGACCAATGGTAAGCGGCCTGGAACTTTCCTCGGGGACATCTGAGCTTCTTCTAGCGGCCTTCAAACATAAGCGAGGCTGGCGAGGCTGGCGAGGCTGAGACCTCGAAATGCCCAAGCATGGCCTCAAACAATCTGTCTGAGCCCCGCGCGTTACGGTCTAGCCGATCGCACGGGGACATGGCCGCCATAGCTTCGGGCACCGTGCATCCGCATCGGTCAAAGGTTTGATTTGGGAAAGGCTCAGCCTCATTGAATCAGGCTATAAGCAGGACACCGATCGGGCCTTCGTTGTGAGAATTTCAGACTCCTGAAAAGCCAGCATCTCCTTGACAGCCCCGCGTGTGACCATTGCTATCTTTGAACTCAAGCATGATGAAAGACTTGTTGCCAGACCGAACGCGTTTATGGCGTTGGCTGTCACTTCAGACGAGAACCTATCAGTATCTTCACCACAGCTCGCGAACGGCGGAAGGCATTGAACTGGGACCTGTACACCATGCCGGCACTAGCGAGATCACCAGCTGTACTCAGGACCGCGAACATTTCGTGTGGTCAAACCCCTCCCTTTCGTCTCTCAAGCTCTCTACACACCATGACAGCAAAAGAAGATGGGTACGGGGAGTACTGATATGTACATACGCTGCATTTGGTGTTCTATTAGTGAATATCATACTGACCATTGTGGCGGCGGCCGTGTCGGTCGCGGGTCATGGCCAGCGGACGATGAGCTCGGCCACCATCTACAAGGGCAGTTGCGACCGAACAAAGGCGTGGACGACGGGTCTGCATCTGCTGATTAACGTCCTCAGCACGATCGTTCTCGGGGCCAGTAGTTACTGTATGCAGTGCTTAACTGCGCCTTCGCGTGCCGATGTTGACCGCGCCCATGGGAAGCGTGTGTGGCTGGACATCGGGGTCGCCAGCGTGCGGAATCTGGCATGGGCGGATTGGCCTCGACTCACCTTGTGGCTGGTACTTCTTGTAACCTCTTTACCCATTCACTTGATGTATGTCATTATCCATCCTCGAAGGAGTTGGGCCTAACGACGAAGCTTTAGATACAACTCCGCCGTGTTTTTCGCCTTGGGCACAAGGCAGTACGACGTCCTGCTGGCCTCGGCTGATTTTGATTTCAATCGCCCGCCGGCGAATTATACCTCCTCGTACGAGGAGTGTTTTGAGCCAAACACTGCGATGAATATGTCCACTTTCTATGCGAATCTTCCGACCTTCGAAAATTTGACCAAAGAGGAATGTGTCCGCACGTACGCAATGGATTTCCCGACAGACCTGGGCACCCTGATCTTGGTGACCAGCAACCACACCACTTCCAACGAACATCTGCAATGGGTTGAATTAGGAACCTCAGTCACGGACGGTTGGGATGCTAGACAGCCCAGCTATGACTGGCTCTGCGATCAGTTTGGGCTTTCCTCCTCCTGCACCCCGTCGAAGCTCCCTCTTAACCAATGGGTCGCCTCGCCCCTCGTGTCCTGGGGTGGTCCAGTGGTCAAAGCCACCATCGAGGTTCCCAGTGGTTTGATTACAGTCGACGGGACGGACGACTCAGGTCTACTGGGAGACACCGATGACTGGAGTCAAGATCTGACGAGGGATCTTCAAACCCTTCTACTGGAGCTTAGTAGGTACCCATCAGAGCATGCCTTGCAGCAGTACCTGGATAATTCCACCCATTGGCTCAACAATACGTGGGCTCGGGCTGTAAGCCTCGTACCGGTCGCGGGCGAGGCAAAATGTGCTGCCGATCCCTTCAGGCTGAACGACGCGGGACCATGGTACCCAGTCGAATATTGCTTGAGTCGGAAGGTCACCGAGCAATGTGAGCTGCAGTTCAGCCCGGCGATTTGCTTGGTGGTAATTCTCTGCAATATGTTAAAGGTTCTGTTTATGTCACTAACAGCCTGGAGCAATCGGACGGACATCTTCCTGACTGTTGGAGATGCTGTGGCATCGTTTCTGAGTAGACCTGATCCATCCACTGAGCGGATGGGCCTGGTATCCCGATCGAATTTGTTCCGTGGACCACAGCCCTGGCCGTCTCTCCGGAGGGACTATTTGCAGCTCGCGGTGAAGGATGCATCGCGACCCCCAGCTTGGGAAACCCTTCCGCCTCGCCAGCGATGGATGCGAGCCTTGCCTACCAGCCAGTGGATAGTGACCATTGGCGTGTACGTGCTGACAACTTTTTGCGCTTGTGTCAACTCTCACTGACGCATATAGGTGCCTTACCCTTCTTGGTGTTGGTGGTTATTATCTGTCACAGGCTATTTATGCCCTGCAAGAAGAAGAACACCCCTGGACCTTCAGTGCGCTGTGGCAGCTGGGGTTCGGCTCGGCCACGCCATATACAATCATCTTTTCCCCTGTCTCGTCAAACGTCATTCACATGTCTCTTCTTGCCAACACCCCCCAGATTTTCATCTCGGTCGGTTACTTCCTGTACAACAACCTCCTGACGCACATGCTTTTTGTTGCAGAATATGACGACTACGCGCGCCAGCGGAAGCCACTCCGCGTGTCCTGGCCCCAGGGATCCCAACGATCGTCTTACTATCTCAGTCTTCCGTATCGCTACAGCATTCCCCTTATGGTTGCCTCAATGCTCCTGCATTGGCTGGTGTCTGGTAGTTTATATTATGTCCAAATCAATTATATTGACCCGCTTGGGAAGGATTTGGTTTCAGATCAGCTCATTACCTGCGGATATGGGCCGATCGCCATTGTGTTCGCGCTTATTCTTGGGGGAGTGATGACGTGTACTGTAGTGGGTCTAGGTATGAGACGTTTCGCATCACAAATGCCCATTGCAGGTAGCTGCAGTGCAGCAATCAGCGCTGCATGTCATCCAACAGAGGGTGAGGAGCATGCTCTGAAGCCGATCATGTGGGGTGAGATTCCGGTGGCCGCAGTGCAGCCGGAAGATGAAGACGATGTGGACGAAATTATCTGTGACCACGAGCTGGAAGACAGGAGGGATGGGAATGGTAACTATTCGCCGTTGAGAAAAGACACGGCTGGCCAGGAGGGTGTTTATGGCCATTGCAGTTTCACCTCGGGGGAAGTGATCACTCCAAACCCATCAAGACTGTATATTTAGACCTCCACATAATTGTCAAGCACGTTCCAGATCCATTTATCTATCCACCACTGAGCCTTTTATGTTCGTGCAACCATAAGGATGGACTGCGAGGAGGCTCTTGTAGAGAACGAGGACAAAGACAGGACTCAGTTGCAGTCGCAACGCCTACAGCTCGCAAATCCATCACTAGTGCATCCTTTAGAGGACATGACGTTATTTGTCTGTAGCAGTGTGCAAATTGACGAGGAAAGAGTGACCGTTGTGATGCGGGGATCAAGTTCCTCCAGATCCCGCTTTGCTTACTTGTTTGTTCGTCATTTTGACTCTCGATACTCATCACTGCCATCTATGAAGAAGACTGGCCCAGAAACATCCTCTAAGTTGAGCTCGACACGCAAGGGAAATTTGACTTTATCGGCAATCACAACTGACCCAATGTGCAACCAAACCACCAGCTTGCCAGGGGTCAAAACCCTGAGAATACGGGAATTACCCATGGCTGATTACTCAATGAAATGAATTGCTGCTGGAGCACGCACTGAGATTATTTCGCAGCTAATTTACAAATGACCACAAATCACAGTTCTTAACGGGAAGCCAGTATCTCAAGCACTGAATTTCTCTCGATTTGCCTCCACCCACTCATGTAATCGTGTCGCCGGCCGGCCAAGATACTTTTCAATATTGCCAACTGCAGGACCATACCGGGGGCTGTCCATGAAGGACTGACCATTCGCAGCATTCCGGCAAAACCCGAGCACCGATCGTGCGATGGGCTCGGGCAGCCCGGACTCATTCACCAAGCTGTCCAAGGCTTCATTCTCATCCACCTCAGTTACATTGACCTCCTTGCCAAGAACTTTGCCAATAGTCTTGACAGCATCCCCGACGCCCATCTTCTCCGCGCCGACCAGATTCACGTACGGCTCGTTCAACGACAGATCAGTTTCCTGGGCCCTGCGGGCCAGAATCGTGCCGCAAACGCCTCCAATATCTTCCGGAGAGATCCAGTCAAAAGCTGCAGCTGGCCAAGCGAGCTTCACATGTCTGGTCTGAATGGGAGCTTTCCACCAAAGCGTGTTACTCGCGTAAAAGGCCGGCCGGACTGCTACATAGCCATTCGCTCCGAAGATCTCTTCCAGGGAGATCTCAGCCTGCGCATGCACATAGGCGATGTGATCCTCGGGCGGCACATTGCGAACATCTCCCTGGATACCGAAGCTGCTCAGCAGCACGACAAATTCGATTCCTGCCTCTTTGAGAGCGGTGAAAGTCGCTCGCATGTGGTCAGATGAAGTCAGATCGGTGTAGATGAAGGCGTGCTTGGCTTTGCTCTGCGCTACTGCAGTGGAGATAGTATCTGGCTGCGAGAAATCGGCCTGTACCCTTTCAAACCCTCCCTCGCGTTCCTTCTCCGCAATGAGTCCGGGAATGGGCTTCGTGGGGTCGCGCATGGCGAGATACACCGTGGTTCCTAGTTGCTGGGCGGTGCGCGCGGCGGCCGAGCCGACCGCGCCTGTTGGACCAAAGACGATAACGGGAGCCATGTTGGTATAGATGAGTGACAATCAATTTGTCTATGTTTTCTCTCATATATAATGGTTGTCGTCGCCAGTGGGTCGTGATTGCGAATTTGTCAGCCTCGGTCTCGGACCCACGGCAAACCGAAGAAGCGAACCGAGATGTGATGGAGTGATGTCATGTTGCTCCATCTATCGTATCAGTCAAATGGTCTTTACTGTATAGTGAAAATGACGAGAGTGAAGAACAGTTGTATGTTCGTCTGATAGAGAAGCGATGTAAACTATAGTAAAACAAGCAATGCCATTATATCCCATACTACCACCACAGCACTGTTCAACCCTATTAAACCCAAGCAAACAACATAATCCCATATACCAAATGAACAAACCAATCACGCTCTCAACTTCATCATCAACAGACCCAATATCCCCGAAACAGCCCCAAGTTTCACCCAACTCTTCCAACTGCACCCATTGCTACCACTACCATGCAGTCATTCCCTCGCCAACCACTCCTCCACCATAGCCTCAAAATTCGGCTTATACAACCACCCCAACTCAAACCCCTTCTCTTCCTCCTCCTCCTCCTCCTTCTCCTCTCCAGCAGTAACAGCCCTCGGTATTCTCCTCTTATCAATCTGCGCATTCAACGCCAACACCCTATCGACCCTCTCCTGTCTCCCCCTCTGCCAAACCTTCAACCCCCTCTCCAACCCGCCCTTCTGTCCCTCACACCTCGCCAAAACCAACGCATACGTAAACACATCCTCAAACGCCTGATTAATCCCCTGTCCGGCAGACGGCGGAATCGCATGCGCCGCATCCCCCAGAATGACCACTCGGCAATGCTCCGAACTCCACTTCTCCAACTTGGGGACCATATAAAACGGCCACAGGTTGATCTTCTCCGCAGAAATGTTCGACACAGCCCGCTGCACTATCTCGGGGAACTCATCCGCCCCTTCACGCAGGAACTCCACGCACCAGTCCTTGTCGTTCATCAGCTTGGTCCATCCTTCCCGGTCGAGTTGGGCGGACCGCTTCTGCCGTCCGATGAGCACCTCGGACCCGTCGCGGAGCTGAGGCGCGATGACGAACGCCCCGTGAGTTTTGTTCATGATTGTTACGGGAAGGTTATACCCCTCAGGGATGGCCAGTTGGGATGTAGGCACCGCGGCGGTGACGGCCATGGCGTTCATGAATTTGGGTTCGAGGTCCGGGTACAGATATTTGCGGACTTTGGAGTGGATGCCGTCGGCGCCGACGAGACAGGTGGCGGTGGAGGTGGTCCCGTCTTCGAATTCCCAGGTTATGTTCGATTCGGTCTCCGTGATGACTCGGCTGAATTTCTTGTGGTAGTGGATCGGGATCCCGGCTTCGGAGACCATCGCGGAGAGTTCCCGGATCAGCACGTGTCGGTAGATGCGCATCCCGCTGTAGCCGTATTTGGCGGCGTTGCCGAACTCGTATGTGTCGAGAGGAGTGTCGGCCGGGGAGCGGAAGTAGAGGTTGTCGAAGGAGTAGGCTTCCGGGCGGATCCGGTTGTAGACGCCGAGGGTGTCGAGGATGCGGAGGGCGTTCGGGGAGAGCATGATGGCTCCGCCGATGTTGAGCGGGGCGGAGCGTGCCTCGTAGATGGTGCAGGGGATGCGTTGTTGGTGTAGGGAGAGGGCGAGGGCTAGGCCGGAGAGCCCGGCGCCGATGATGGCGACGTGGGTGGACATGGTGTAGATGGCGTAGTGTAATAGATGAATATGCTGTAGCTGTGTAGATATGCAGAGATGTGGAAATGTGTAGATGTGCTTGCTATGCGATGCTGTGATGTGATGCTGTGCTGTGCTGTCTGATGATCTCAAACTACAGCTGGACTTCGTTCCTTATATACCACACTCTTCGCCTTCATTCACAGGCATCCAGTTTCAAGTTTCCGCCCCTTAACCCCGTGGCCCGACTCATCTCGGGATTATCCAGCTGCCCAATGCCAGCACATAATGGAGTATAGGGGAAGTGTTACACAAACAGGTGACAGTGTTGGCTGATTGATGGTAGTAGCTTAGTGACTGGAATGATCGACGTCGGGCGGAAGCTGACCTTAGCTGAGATGAGCTGGTTGTCCGGATCCGGGTTCGGATCCGATGGAGTCGGGGTTTTGGGGGTACGTTACCCCTTTGGAATTGTCCGAGGAGACGACCGGGTATTGCCTGGTGTATGTACAGGTGATGGTTAACTTGTTGAATATAGACAGGGTAGTGCCGTGTTGATGCAAGGTGATTGTGAAGAGGGATTATGGTGGGAGGTACTACAGCTCACAGCACAGCACACAGCACACAGCTATTTCACATGCATAATTTGCACCAGGGTATCCATTCACACATAAGTACACTATTATCAAGCAATACACAATTAACTAATACACTGAGAAACGCATCAAACTGGATACAGTGAAGAGGCACTATGTACATCCCATCTATGAAGCACCAAACACCATCCCACTTTTCGCTCATAACCAAATCAGCGATTAACTGATTGTAACCAATACTAAACTGACTGTGACTGCACAATGCATATCGCTGCGTCATTCGTCGTAGGCCTCATTATCGACAAACTGAGATAATGCAGGCACTAATTTACATATTCCAGGCAAACGATCCATCTTCAAATGCAAAGGGATCGCCGCGGAAGTTGTTGAATTCTGTCGCCAAGGCAGATGACTCCGCTAGGAAGTCGGGCAGCTGTGGCTGCGTGGAGGGCGTGTAGCCGGGATCTGTGGTAGTGGGGAAGATCGGCTGTGTAGTTTGAAGCTGGAAACATTAGCCTAATACCATAAAAATATCAAGAAGAAAGGAAGTTTACCATCTGTGCAAAATCCGTCAGGTTAAACGCAAACGATTGCTGCGCTACAGACGGCAACAGATGCTGTCGACACGCCGACAGTGCCTTCACAGCCCCCTGCTGCATCCATCGCTCCTTCAGCTCGGCGGACCCCCGCGCCCGCACCGATTGCAGCACCACCGCCAACAGCATCACATCTTTGATGTTGCTGCCGGTTTCGCCGATCGTGCGGGTCAGCCCGTCGAGTGTATTCTCGACAATGCGCGTAAGACTGGCCTTGGTGTGTGTAGTCGTCGGCTGACTGGGCGAGTAGGCGGGAGCGGGCGCCATCGGCGTCGGGGCCCCGGAATGCTGCTGGTTGGACAATTTCATATACCCACACACACTCAGCGCAGCCCATGGAATGTCGTTCTTGCAAAAGAGCTGGAACACATCCCAATAGGCGGTTGATTTAAAGACATCCAGATCCGCCACGTTAGGGTCAAAGTAATCCTGGTAGGAGAGCACCACCAGCGAAGACTCCAGACACGCTTGTTCGATCTCCAGGAAGAGCTGGTCCTCGCGGCTCTCGCCCATGACAATCGGCCGGTAGAGACAAAGCAAGGGTCGACGCATGTATACGTCCAGCAGCACCCGGTTCAACAAGAGGGCTGGTCCAGGGGTCTCCCCATGGATCGGTGAGGGATCCAGCTTGAGCGGAGGAGGAATCTGTCGCAGGCATTCTTCCAGACGTCGGCCTTGCTTGACAATGTCGCGCAGATCTAAGCCCGGGCTCGAGGTGCGCACTAGCGACATGGCTCGGATGCGGTGGGGTAACGAGGAGGCCAAGGTGACTTGCGCGAGGGTATCAGTCCACTCATGCAGTGGTTTCGCCGGCGGCAGCTCCGTGGTGGATTCGTCGAAATCGGTGTCATTCAAATTGGTCGGAATAAGCGGATCAAAGTCGAGATCCGGGATGGTCACGGGCATACCCGAGGCGATGGAGGTCTGCAGGTCCATCTCCACAATGGTAATCCACAAGCGGCGCCGGACTTCGATCTGAAATGGTGACAGCTGCTTATTGCCGGACAGATCCAAATGCAGGCCCACCACCATGGCCGACCGCACGAGTGTGCCGGTGGCGCGCCACAGCTCTTCCTGCGAGGCCAGCCGCAGTCGTCGCGCCAACAACACAAGCGCCTCAATCTGCAACGAGACCAGCTCGGTGCGCTGCTTGCGACCCAGCTTCTGCAACCACACGCGCACGAGGTTAACGGCGGGCGTCTGCAAGTACTCCCAGACAGAGGAGTACTCGAGTCGGAAGCTAGGATCTTCCAGAGGCAGCGCGGCTGCCAGAACGGCCGTCAGTTGCGGCAAGAAAGTGGCGGAGCGTTCAGCGTCCGGCCCTGGAGTGGTCCAGAAATCGGCATACTGGCGGAGAAAAGACGGGACATGCAACATGCGTAGGGTACGTTCAAAGTTGGTGGTGTACAAGTTCACGAGTCGGTCACAGACCGCTTTAGATGGTAGAGAGCTCTGCATCTGCAGCAGCTCGGGCGAGTAGTCGAGGTCGGGCATGGATTCTGGTGAGCTCATGGGCATCTTAGATTTAGTCTGTAGAAACTGGACTTCCTTGGCCAGCCCCAAGATGGCAGAGTCCTTGGTGCAGCGTTCAATGAACTCTCTCGCTTCGGAGAACTACAAGCTGTTAGATACGCATCCCACTGACAAATTTAGAAGGAAATTACCTGATGCAACAAGGTGGTCCGGTTGTTCTGGCCATGGTAACGTGATCGCGTGCCCTTTCCTTTGACGACTAGAGTACCAGGATACGGGGGAGCATGGGTCGACGGGGTGGTCTGGCGGACAGACGGACTGGCATCGCGGGCCACCACATCCTTGAGGGAGCCGGCATACGAGCGCGTCAGCGGCTTCAAGGAGAGCACCTCTTCCACACGCTGCAATCGTTGCTGGAGATCCTCCAGCAGACCGATAGCAGCGGGCGGCGGAGGCAGCCTGGCACCAGCCGGATCGCCCCGAGGATCGGAGGGAAACGGGAAGTCAGGTGGCAGATGCATGCGCTTCGCACTGGGCTGGTCCGGCAGACCATCGACGCCATCAGGACTGGGATGAAAGACACAGTCGGGGGCACAACCGGCTTTGGAGCAGTTCTCGCAGGGCATGACCCGGTCGCACTTGAGCTTCTTCTTGCGACAGCGCAAGCACGAGACCACGGGCCGGGGACGTTTGCGGGTCAGGGAAGCGTCCCCGGCCAGCTCGGTGGGAGGGGAGATCTGGCCAGACACGGGACTCATTGCTGGCAAAAGAGGATTTCAAAGAGTGCTCGCGTCGGAGATGGGAAACAAAGTCGCACAAGGGGAGCCAGTCTAAGGAAAGAATGGGGGGTCAGGGTTGGCGTGTGAGGGGGAGACAATAATAAAGACCAGCAGGTTTCAAGAGTGCGACTGGGCCACCGTCTCATCGAGACTTCAGGCTAAGCTGACAGGCGCGCAAGGCGGATGCAGTGCAGCAGTAGTAGCAGTAGCAAGCAGTAGCAGCAGGGGCCGTCGTAGTAGTGGATGCAGGAAAGTAAGACGAGGAGATTATTGGCGATGGGAGGAATCCACAAGTCACAGCCAAGTCTGACATCCACCCCAAGACTGCTTGTGTTTGCCTTCCTCTGCCCAGCTCTTAGTCTACTTTTCTGGTTCAACTGGTGGAGCAGAACCATAACAACAAGGGCTGCGAGACTCTCTCTCCACTTTTTGCCCCTTAGAGCTTTCTCCAGGATGCCACATAGACTAACAGTGCAGATTGTCTTTGTTTGTCCGTTCACCGCCTTCCCCTCCAAGTAACTTACCAGGCTGCAGCGGATCTGCTTACCTCAGCCTCGTATCGACCTCGCGTGTATCTCGTATTGCTGCCTGACCAGGCCAAGCCAAGATGGAGACCCTGAAAATCATTGCTGAGGAATTGAAAAAAAGTTTATCGCATTTCTGCTGAATAAATAGAGAAAAGCCACAATTAATACGAAGCCAAGAGATCTGATAACATACATAAAATTTCACGCCATGCCAGGTGTAAATGCCCAGAGATGATGAAACACAAACCATGAGGGGATAAAAAAAAAAGAAATAGAATAAGAAACAATCATTGCCCTGTCGATCTAACCCTGGTTCGTCTCCAAATTCTCCGCTCCCACCCGCTCCGCCCCGGATCGGCCCTCGTGAGATGGTGGGAGATTGCCATGTCAATATCTAGAACAGATCGAGAAATATTCTAGTTGGTGATCACTGGTGCCGTGTTATCCCATTTGTTGGTTTCAGCAGCATCCACCAACCAGCGGGCCACCGTGATCCGACTGGTGCTGGCCATCATGGGCACTCCCTTGCCATGATCCGGCCACACTTTGACCGGCTGGTTGGCATCGGGCGTCTCCACCAGCCGCGACGGTCGCACCATCACATAGTCCAGTCCACTGGCCTGCACTGCCTTGGCTGTCGCGTTGTGATCGTCATACTGATACGACATGTTGGACTTCTTCATCAGCAGCCGCAGCACGCAGTGCATGTTGTCCCACGATTCTCCAACTCCAAATGCCTGCAGGATGACCGTTTTGCGTACTCCAAACTCCTTCATCGCCGCCAGCACGTTGTTGTTGCAGTCCGTCATCAGTCGAGGAGGTGAGATTGGCGCCGCAAAGGGGCTGTCGCTGGCCCGTGGGGCGTTGAGTGTCACAATTACCACATCTGGTATGTCGGCTTGGAACGCGGCACGGACATCTTCCAGTTCGGTGGGGGTTCCTGGTGTGGGTTTAGTTGGAGTCGATTCCTTCAGATGTCGAGAGACTATGACTATGACTAACCTTGGACGACTTTTAGCCCGGCACGAGCTCCACCCAGTGATTCGGGCTTGCGGGCCAACGTGGTAACCTGGTGGCCTAGATTATTGTTAGCATTTTAGCCGATACGACCAATGAATTGCAAGTTGAAGCGAGAGACACTTACCGCGACTCAGCAGGTCATCGATGACGAGCTTTCCACACCGTCCACTTCCACCAATCACAAGAACGCGCATGATGTTATGTTGTGGTTATTGAAGGGTTGCTTTGAGTAGTATGGAGGTGACAGGATCAAGAGGAATATGTCTGGTGTATTCTCGTTTCGTCTTATGTAGTGTAAATGATTGCAGTTGTAGCTGATGGAGAGAAATGCATTACTGCTGGCGTCAGAGGCCCTATATACCCTGCCAGCCACGAGGCTCTGTCCGGACCAGTACTCGGATCCGACCGGACAGATATCGACTCGTCCGGACGGAGCAGATGGTAAGCATGCAGATCATTTCGATCCGCCGCTTGTAGCGGGGCCGATCTGAGTGATAGGGAAGCCGTTGCAGGATGAATCCTTGACCAGGGCTCGGAGCGGGCTTTTTCTTGCTGATTTGGGGGTTATCTCCGGGTCAGGGGTTCCCCGAGGGGGTTGAACCGGGTTCAACCGTGGGTGTTGTTGCATGGTACAGGGATGGGTTCTTTGTTGAGATTCATTCCAGAAAGCAGGGATGTTTCTTCGGTCAGGTTCTAAATATATTCAACGTGGTAATGTAAGTGCTAGGAGTGAGTGTAGGTAGTGATGCGTTCATGTTGATAGAGTGAAGATATATATTCCGCTCGGGTGGTGTCCTGTAGTACGTCCACAGGTGAAGCGAGTGCCAAGTAACACAATTGATAAACTGCTAAAGTAATTTGAATGTTCATGAATACAACTAATTGAATTATCGTAGCACCCATTTAGCACACTGTATGTATTCCCCACGTTATTCATCATAGATTATCTCTGTTCGGAGTAGATCAAGATAGTCCAGATCTCCGACTCCACTCGGCACCTTCCGGATCGCCACCCATCCCTTACTTCCATTCCATATGACTCCACCCACGATCTACTGATGAGATTCACTCAGGGGTATGACAAATACAACAAAGCAAGGGGGCTATGTGAAGCGCCCCTCATATCCACGGTTACCTCCCGTTCCCGTCGAAGCTACCAAGAACCGACACAAGCAACATCAAACATCTAGACACGAGTTCATAATCGCTAAATCATGTAAATACATACAACTCTATCATCTTTTCATCGGCCCACATAGCCAATACAATCTATCTAAGCCCTCTTCTCACACACCACCTTCATATCCGGATGATTGATCCAAATCTCCTTATTTCTCCCCCACTCCTCCATGGCCTCCGGCTTAACCATCCGCAGGTCATACCCTTCCACCAAATGGACCAGGATCGCCCGGATCACCACACTCGCCACAAACTTGCCCATGCACTGCCTCGGCCCGAATCCGAATCGCCAGAAGTGGTACCTTGCCTGGGTTAAGCTCCTTGCCAGGAACCGATCCGGCTGGTACAAGTGGCGCTCCTCGCCCCAGTACGGGTTCCGGATGTTGAGCGCGTACGAATCCACCACGAAGTTTGTGCCAGCGGGGAAGTGGTATCCGCCAACTGTTCTGGCTGTGGGGATGGCTTGTGGGACAGAGAACGCGGCAAGGGGGCGGAGACGCGCGGATTCTTCCACACAGGCCGCCAGCAGAGTGCTGTTGTCCAGGAGGTAGGCGTCGACTTCGCCATCTACGGAGATAGCGCGCTGCTGCTCGACTTCCTCGCGGAGGCGCTTGGCAATGTCGCGGTATGCAGCAAGGAAGACCACGTTCCAGCTGACGCCGCCAATGGTCACGTCGAGGTTGGCGTAGAGCATCTCGTCGAGCGTGTGCAAGAGTTCCTGGGTGCTGATTTGACCGGCATCCCGTGCGGCGAAGAAATCGATGATGGGGGCGTTGAGTTTCTGCTCGACGGCACGACGGTGTGCCAACTCGTTGAAGGCTAGCCAGCGTTGCTGGAAGGCGGCCAGCTCACGATTGGCTTGCGTGGGGAGAAATCGCGACCAAGCGAAACGAGTCAATCCGCCCTTGATGACATGTTTCATCAGGTTCTCGCGTTGTGGGGCCAAGCGACGCAGCTCGGCTTCGACATCTGGGGCGAGGCGACCGTAGACAACTTCGGCGACTACCAGAAAGGGGAGCAACTTGAGGTCGTCTGCCGGGTCGAGCAAGCCCCGGGACAGGTCGCGGGTGTCCCAGAGTTCCTGGAAGAATTGCTCCGTGCGGCGCTTGACGAGTGGGATGTAGGTCGTCGAGGCGTTGCGGTGGAAGGGCTTCTCCATGATGGCCCGCACGCGCTGCCATTGATCCTGACTGACCAGTCCGACACATTGGCCCAGCAGTTCACCAAGCAGATATCCCGAGTTGTTGTTTTTGGCCTTGAGGTGGGTGTGCGAATCCTTGAAGACGGCTTGGATGTGTTCGGGACGGGTGAGGACGCTACAATGATCAGTAGTTGTCGACAAGAAACAGGAGGTAGACGTACACTTCTGGGTTCATGCCAGACCAGAGACGGTAAATGGCTCCAAACTGACGCTCCCAGCGCTCTGAGTTGCTCTGACCTTGCAAGAACTTGGCCCCGTCGCCTTGTCCATCAGGCCACTGGTACGGCAGGGTAGGCAGCGGACTGTTGTCATCGACATGATGTACAGGAAAGCGACATGCAAGATGGACCTGGATTGTAAGCTGAAGCCATGGTTATAACATAGAAAATGCTTACCCGAAGAATAGCAGAAATCAAACGGTTGATCGTATTTGTTATAGGTGTGCGGAATTTGACAGCTACTAGGATGGCCACGATGAGGACCGCCTGGCCCGCGAGGAGAATTGTCGTATTCATGGTGATGGTAGTTATTGCAGTTGATTGTTTGTTGCAGACTGAGTTCATCATGGCAGCTATATACTTCAATAATGATGCGCGACCGATGCGGATAGCCTCATGGGGGCCACGGAGCAGGGAATCGGATCCGAGGCCGGATTTGCTCACCCGCAGGCTGAAACATGGCAATACGAGATGCAGTCAGAGTGGATCTGTCAGATCCTGCACGATCCGCCTGAAGAAAGATCCTCTTCTCGCGTGGCTCTGCACAGACGCCCCGTAGGAGCGGCCGGAATTAGCGGTCGAGCCATTCAGAGCCGAGCGGGAGCTATGAGATGGCGCAATCTCGTGTGGTGAGCTGAAGTATTACAAAGCATGGAGAGTTGATGCAAGTGGTGCGAGGATGCAGACTGAGCAGGGTTGAAGATGTTGGTGTCGTGATACTGGTCTATGATGATTATTGCAGGAAATATATACGCGAATATTGGAGGCAAAATCATCATATTCATAGACTATCTAAAACTAACGACGCCAACGTCATGTACATAGCCGGAGAGTCATCACAATAAACCCTAATAACATATACACCATTATGCATTAGATGAATCGCCGTTTTTCTCCTCCTTCAAGCCGTACTTCGTGTCCAGTTTCGTCCGCAGCGTGATTTCACTGTAGCCATTAGCATCCATCCAGACGTACACAGCAACAAGATCAACTTACCGTTCCAAGAACACCAGCATGAACCCAACTCCAGCAATAACAGTCGCGAAGATCCACACAATCTTCAGGCTGTCTGCATACAACCCTATCACTTGCTTTCGCACATCGCCAGTAAGCGAATTGACATAGTCCTTAGTACCATGCTCGTAGGCAGCGCCTCCGCCGAGCGTCCTCTGGACACTGTCACTGCTGATTCCCGAGAGATCGTGCTCCACCTGAGCGTTGAAGATTGCCGACGGTACTGATACACCCCAGACCACACCAAACTGGCGCACGAAAGCCCACGCCGCTGTAGCAGCTGCGGTGTCTTGGTCGGAAAATTCAGCCTGCACAGCTGGTAGCAGCGTGCTTAGAGAGGAGCCCGATCCCAGGGCCACGACTATCTGCACCATGATCCAGGCAACATCTGGTGAATTTTCATTAAGTGTGATGAAACAGCCAAAACCTAGTGTGAAGAGCGCGAACCCGATAAAGTGGAAGGGCTTGTAGCGACCGAATTTGGATAGCAGGGCACCGCTGACTACTGAGGCCGGTACCAATACCAGTACTGTTGGGAGCATCATCACACCCGACCGGATTGGAGAGGCCAGAAGCACGGCTTGGAAGTACACCGGAAGGAAGTAGATGACGAGCAGGGTAAGCATAGATTGGATGAAGGTGATAGTGAATGCAGTGGCCGAAGTGCGGCGCGTGAAGAGACGCATCGGTAGCGTGGGCTGGCGGCAGAAGTTGCTCTGCTCGTAGAAGATAAACACGACAATTCCATAGAACCCAAAGACCAGCGAAATAATGGTCGAGAATGACTTCCACGGCCAGAGTGTGCCGCCGTACGCCAGAGCGACCAGAATGAATGAAATGGCTAGGATGAATATGAGGTTGCCGCCATAGTCGATCTGCTTCAGACGGCGCTTGATGGAGGTCTCCTCGCTGCGATGACCGACTTGCAGGAACACAAACAATAGTGCCATGGAGATCCCTCCGACAGGTAGGTTGAGATAGAAGACCCAGCGCCAGGTGGTTTGTTGGACTATCAGTCCTCCAACGATGGGTCCCAACGAGGTGCCAACAGAGACTGCCGCAAAGACGATGGCCATGAGACGACCACGTTCGCGCAAAGGCACTAAGTCACACACAATCAGGTTCACCAACAGTGTAATACCACCGCCGCCGATACCCTGGATGACGCGACCGGCGATGAGGGCATTCATGCTCGGTGCACCACCGCTGATGCCGCTGCCCAGCACGAACATGGCTACCGCGAAAATGATCAGCCATCGCCGGCCGAAGATGTCAGCCATTTGCCCATACAGCGGTTGAAAGACGGTACTATATACAATTAGCATTGATAATTACTGTGTATACTTGCACAACTTACTTGGTAAGGAAATATCCAGTCGAGGCCCAGACATACGCTTCGCCGCCGCCCAGGTCCTCCACGATGGTCGGCAGCGCCGTTGAGATGACTGTTCCTTCCAACGCTACCAGAAGATTTGTCACACACAGTGCCACCATGATGGCCCATATTCGGGGTCCGTATTTGATCTTTGTGGGTGGTTCCTCCTGCTCTTCGACCTTGAGTTGCTCGGTCGGTTCAGTCAGACCCAGGGCTTCGACCGAGTCTTCAATAATGGAATGACGATAAATTCCACTCAGTCGCTTGGACCCTGCGCCGGCCGCTCCGTAGCCCTGAGCTTCAATAGCATCGTGAAAGATATCGCTGGACACACTTAGACGCTGGCTGAGCCGTCTGGTACGGCTGCGTCGGCTGGCGTTGCGTTCTAGTCCTTCCCGGGGTCTGGCAACGGGGACGGGAACATCGGGCCATTCCCCGGGAACTTGATGAGGTTCACTCGGCTCTTCCTCAACTTCCTCAATGCGAGGAGTAGTAGTGTTGGTAGGTGGCGGGAGGGCGTCGGGTTGGCGCACCCGGATCTCAATAATGGTGTCTCGCGTGTTCAGGGCAATGGATCCAGCCATGGTAACTGTTCTAGGACAAGAGAGACA